AAAAGCACTTAACGGTTTGAAATGTGCAATAAATTGTGTGTGTACCTTATTTATAATTTATTTTACATAAGACTCGACGCCGACGTTTTATATGCTTTACACAAGCCGTAAGCACGGCGGGGATTTATTTTGCGTTTTTAAACCGTTAAACGTGTCCAAAATATGTGCCCTACTGACTATTTAATATATACATATATTAAATATTGTTTAACCAAACAGGTTTCCTAAATTCCTACATCATTACAGTCATTTGATTTTTAAAATGAGTTTTCATAAAACCAATTAATTGGTATTTCTGTCCCGAAATCTGTAAATTAAATTTCCTACGTACTCCCGATTATATATCTACGCCTATAGCTTCTTTAACAGATCCCATGCTGTGATTTGTATTTGTGTTATTATGCTTTCAGTATATCAAAAAACAAACATATGTTATATAATTATTGTTAATGACATACCTACCTACTTCAAAACTTTTTATTGACCGGTTAAAAAGGTTATGTATTCTCATAGTTATTTACGGCCTCAAATGGTCCTTTAAAGACAAGCACGGGTCAAGTCATTCAATAATGTAAATGCAAATATTTCGTCAAAGTTATAAAAATTATAGATATTCCATTATTCGAATTTGCAAACTCAATGATATCGTGTATGCGAACGCACTAACAGCAGCGGGGAGCCTCGGTAAATATCTAGTGCCATTGTTTAGTTCTGTCTGAAATAGAATTTGCGCAAATGTTGATTATGAAACTGGCTTACAGTTTCAAAGCAAGCCTTATATGGGCGTGACTTTCTCAGCATGTATCAAGCTTAGCTAGCCTTTGGCTATCAAACGTCTTGTGTTTCTTGTTTAAATCGGTAGGTATTTAAACTTTAATCAAAGCACTTTTAACGGTTTAAAACACGTAATATATGTCTTGATATATTCCCGTCAAGACCAGGTTGAGTCGTTGTCAAAATTAGTGTATGTTTCGCGTTTTTAACTGTAATATACCAATTTTAAACATCCTCAAATGTCATCATAGTTCAATTGTTTAGAGCAACAGCACGGAACATTGTGGATGCCGGTTCAAGTCCTGCCCGTGTCGTAAAATGTTTCAGGCTACATAGGTTTTTAATTTAACCTCAAATGAACGTTACTGAATTTAGATACACATAGTTCGTTATCTAACCGTTAATAAATATTGGATTATGTAACTTAACATGTTCATGTCGTTACAACCAATGCACTAGTAGATGTAACTTGAGACGTATTTAAGCGTTAACTACGCCATTATAAACGCAACGCTATTAATATTCTACACTGACATCAAAACAATGATAAATATCTTCCACAACTCAAAATCCATACACAATTACTAAGAACAACTTAACAAAGACGACACCGATAGTAAAGTGAGCATAGCTAGCCATCAGTTATAGAAACGCCCTAATCAATTCGCTATAAACAGTTATTTAAGTGAAACCAAAGCTAATTAAGATATTACGAAACCAGAACGCGGCTGTAACAAGAAGTACGTTTTAGACAGAAACATCAAACGTAGCAGAGAAAGCGAATACAAAAACTTACCTGGATCAACTAGATTTCACTCTAAACACTTTTTTTTCAAACTAAAACCTCTTTTTTTCACACAAAACAATAGCACACCTGCAATAGAGACTTTCGTAACCGTTATAACCGCCGGTCGTGTCTCATTCGGAAATCGAAAACGTTTTTGAGAATCGAACGTTTCGTTCTAGATTTGAATTTTTAACTTTGTTCGAATGGAACGCGTGGTGACGTGCGATCACAACGGACCCCCGCACTTCACTACTTTGAGGTTAGTGTTGTGACTCTGGTGCAGCGAGAATGTAATGGCAGCATAACCTTATTTTACCATGGACACCATAATAGCCCTTACCGCTACCACATAAAGTTCAAATTCTCATGCAAATAAATGTCATTCTTTTGCAATTAAACCTGATCATGATAATCGCATACAAAGGTTTATCGGCTTTTCAATAAAAAGATTTTGTAGCAAAAATGCAATTGTTTCGCTCGGTTTTCGTTAGCAACGTGTTAATGAAACGAAATAGTTCAAATGAATTCCTAATGTTGATTCAAGTAAGACGCTATTGTGAACTGTTTGTTAAACAACGTAACCGCTTTGGCAAAGAAGAGTATAATAATATATTATGTACTAATATTATAAATGCGAAAGTAAATCTGTCTGCCTGTCTGTCTGTCCGGCTTTAACTCGGAAACTGCTGAACTAATTTCAATGAAATTTGGTACACAGATATGCCAAAAAAGGGCTGATAGAGCTTGAAAAGGGGATAAAAGTTTGTATGGAAATTCGTGGTTACTACTAGAACAATGAAACTCTTCTTTGGCTTTTTTGGAATAGGAGTAGGAGGGGAGTGGAAGTGAGAGTAAGAGTGAGAGTAGGAGTGAGTGTAGGAATGAGAATGGTAGTTAGAGTAGGAGTGATGTGACGTGAGAGTGTTGCGGCAAAGTAGCATTTACAACATAGATTGGCTGCCTTAAATGGGCCCTTATATAATTGAATAAACAGCCTAAATTATTAAAAAAATTCTACCCCAAGTCACTATTTCACGCGGACGAAGTCGCGGGCACAGCTAGTACCTATAAAAAAAATTATGGTTATTGTTCCCAAGAATTACGTTGTATATCACATCTTTCGATTCGTTAAGTTCTTCCTCAGTGAGAAAATATAAATAAAATACGAACTTCAATTAATAACTAGATTTATGGATAGTAGAAAGTAGTATTTTATTTTTGTCTAGTAGAGTACTACTTTTAATAGTTTTATTTATGCATTAAATAATAAATAAATAATACGCAATAGATGTGTAATAAGTAAGCTGTGTTATAAATATAGATAAATAAATACAATCATTAGCTAAAACAAGTAATTCGTCTGTAGGTAACGCAAATAGTACATATAAAAGAAAATACTCAACGGTTTAAAATGCGATACATATTAGATATTGCCTGACCCTTAGAGGGTGTGTGTGTGTTACACCCTTAAACTTTGAGAAATGTTTTGTTTAATAATTGTAAAAAGTTTTGTGGTAGACACATTTCTGATCAGACTTCAGTGCCCTGGCCGACCGTAACATATCTTTTTCAACGCAATTTGTGTTTAATCAAGAGTAACGTAATTTTCCTTTGAAGTACATTTTATATAATTGTATCGGAAATAATTGAAATTCACAGCGCGTTTGAAATCTTAATAAGACACACTTGTATTACAAAGGTTTACTAACTAGCTATACACAATATTATAGAATTAATTGATGATAATACATATAATACTGTCTGTAGTTCACGCGAGTACTACACATTTTAATAAAACACTTTAACGGTTTAAAACGCGATATATATATATTAGTTAAACTTATTTGAAAATTATTTTGCAGCCACGGCATCCGAAACGTTAGGCATAAAAATAATTTAAAAAAAAATTTAATACCGAAAAGAATGTAATGTACCCAGCCGCTTCGTTGGTGCTGTGGTTAGCGCAGTCCACAGCTAATCATGGGGTCCAGGGCTCGAATCGAGTCATGCGAAATGTAACTAAGAAATTTTCTAATGCCCGTTGACTGAAGGCGGCGGTTGGAGACAAGTACGGTAAGGAAGGGTTAGCTCAATTTTTTTATATCGTTATCGACTACTTTCTCTCGATATAACCATAAAGTATGACCCTAATTGTGTTCGTTTTTTGTATATTTGTATCAGCTGCGATTCATTGTAGTTTATTATTGACGTCTGAAAAATTATTATCTTATTTCCAATGCAATGAATAAAATTTACGATTGTCAAGTTTCAACCATAGAGCCAACGAATCTATGAATGGTGGTTTTGTCAAATTCAAGTCAAACGCAGGCGACAGTATTCAATCTTGATAATTTAATTTATAAGTTTTATATAAAATAGTTATGGCGTACTGGTGAGTTTTGAACGTTAATTCAATTGAAATTTTAAAAGTTCATACCAAAAGAAGACTGTAAAACCTTTTAATTCAATTTATATACTACAATCAATTGCTAATAATGCGCATTTTGAGGTAAATTCCTTGTAGGTGTCCACTCCGTTCTGTTCTCTCCCACAGTACGCTAACACTTCTTAATTTTAAAACCATCTTTAGGATAGCACAAGAAAGTGATGTATTGTATTTACTAAAATGTTACCAAAGGTTTTTGGCGAATTGATGGCGTGTGAAAAAAAAAAATTAGTTTCAGTCGAGAGGACATATAAGTCTGATCAGAGGCATAGGACGGGAAACAGGATATTACTAAAAATCTATGTTAATCTATACTAATATATAAAGCTGAAGAGTTTGTTTGTTTGAACGCGCTAATCTCAGGACGTACGGGTTCAGATAGAAAAATTCTTTTGTGTTGGTTTTAAGAACATTTATCGAGGTAGGTTATTATTTAAGATTTATTTAAGTTATATATTTAAGATTTTATTTAAGTTATATATTTAAGATTAACTTGCAAGAACGGCGGGAAGGGACGCGATCGACGTCGTGGTTAACAGCTTAAGTTCATAAAGATGACGGGGTTTGCAAAAACTTATTTGGATGCCCAAAATAACGATTCTCGCAGACGAAGTCACTGGCACAGCTAGTATTAGATAAAACACGAATTTATAAGGTTAAAACGTAAAATTTTTAAATTACTAAAGTAGTAAACTATGCTCGACGTTGTGGGTGCGTCTTAGTAGGGTCACAGGAGTACATAATATATTTTGAGTTTTAAACCGTTAAGTGATTATTTCATGTGAACCATTTGCGTTAATTATAGCCATTGAACTGTTATAAGAATTTTATATTTTAATACATAGCAAAGACAAGACGTGTAGATACTAGTATAATTCATGTTTTGATCATCAAAATCTGCTCAGCCGTTTATTTGAAAATGTAACAAACGTGTGCCTTCTTTGCAGTTGTTCCCAGTGTAGCTTCACAGCTCAATTTGAGAGTGCACTAACAATGCACCAACAGCTACACCATCACCATCAAAGTGGCTTCAGATCCGGTAGTCCAGATGTAAGTAATATCTAAATAACGCTTACGCAAGGCAGTACTTATAGAATTTTATGTATTTATAATCTCTGCCATTGGCATAAATCACTTTTACCGAAATGTAACTAGTTAACTTATTGCAATCTATTTTAACTACGGCCCGACGGATTCTCGGAAGCTTAGCAGCCATGGTCACGTAGGGACTCCGTCAGGCCGTAGTTAGATAAATTGTATAAAGTGAACTCATATATTTCGCGTTTTAAACAGTTAAAAGTGTTTCATTTAAACGTCTACTATCAGCGACGTGTTTACGGATCATCGAAGCTAAGACCTTTTATACGATTAAATGACCCAATGTAACACATTAACCACATCACAAAGAAGCCCTGGGTTAAATTCATTAGGAAATGATAGTTTTTCTGTGGGGACTGCAATTTTTTTCAAATAAAAATCGACCAGTAAAACTACTCACACGTCAGGCCCGGATTTCAGAGGAATTTTACGTTCATGATGTTAATCAGTTTCAGATGAAATCCAATACAATACCGAGAGAGTCTGAGAAAATTTCATTTACTAAAATTAGAGAGAAAGGCATTAAACGTAAGTACTGTAACAAAACGTGTCGTAAATGTTATATAGTACTTGTAACCTTATTCAGAGTTTTCGAAAAATATTTGGAGAAATTGTAATTATTTGAAAGAAAACAGTTTTCAACTATCATAAATTTAATAGGCTTAAAATTAAATACTGTCTATAGTTTACGCGAGTAGTACACATTTAAATAAAACACTTTAGCGGTATAAACGCGATATATTAGTTAAACTTATTTGAAAATGATTTTTAACTTCGGCCCGACGTTTCGTATGCTTTGCAGCAGCCCGTGACCACGGCTGCTGCAGTGTTTTATTTAAAGGCTTAAAATTAACTAATTCGTTTTTCTTAAAACCATAAATAACTCTTAAGATTTAGCGATTATTGAGGAAGTTTCAGATATAGTGGTTTGTCACCCATTTTCTGGTGGGGTTCGAACCGACCTGTTGATTATTGGACATACAATATTACCATTCTACCAACAAGCCGTCAAAAATCAATTTTTAGTAGAATTGTGTTAATCAATTAATATGGCCTATCTATTAGCTAGCTTATGAAAGTTAAAGATCCATAACATATTACCTCTATTAAAATATATTTTCAGCGATTTGTGTTAGTGTTACCTTTTATTGATTTCAACGCCATCTGCTTTTAGTGACGGGAAGAACGATGTCAGCCACAAAGTTGTTTGACAAACTTCGCGCTCGGATTTGTCGAAGCAAAACTTTGTTTCCACATCCCGAAGAAGGCGCGGGTCTATATGATAATTTCGTAAGGAGCTTATAATTAATAATTATCTTGGTTCAGATGTTTACCGCTCAAACAATAGATTGTTGCGGTCGGACAGGACACAGATGTCCGGTCAACTACTTGTTGCCTGTAAATGAAACAGACACAGAAGTGTGTTCGCCCCATGCCTCATGGGGTTCAGATGCTCGGGCTGTTCTGTGTTCAAAGCCCAAGAACGGTAGTTCTTTTAGTGATAATGAGATAGACGTTGACATACTTGTCTTTCAAGTTACAGTATAATTGTCTAGTAAAGGGACACAAAAGTGTGTTTACTTAGGAATAAAACATTTTTTGATTCCAGGATTTATCTAGCCAGAGCCAATGTACTTCAAAAGCAATGAAAGAACTGTCCCCGTTTTGCAGCAGCGCTGTAGAAGTTACCAAGGAGCCCCACAAGGAGATATTCTCGTGCCACTTGTGTGCTTTTGATGCGGACCGGTAAATACTTTTTTCTTTTACAATCTTATAAGCTTAAAAATAAGGCTAATAAATGAACTTGTATCTTCCAGAATAACAGTCCTTGACCGACACCTCTTGAACGATCATAAGATAGAATTAGAGAGCCTCCTAAAACTGGTTATGGCTAAAACAAAAGACGGCCTAGCAGAAGCGAATCATGCGCAGATTTACGGAATACGCCAGCCGTACTACAGGCCGCCGGACGACATTATAGAGAACGGAGAGTTCATAATAGAAACTGTGACGCCAAAGATTAAAATATTGAAACACAGCGCCGTCAACACAGATTTGAAATTTACAGATATACCTGACTTTGATGATTGCAAAGACATCTCGCGCGAGCTGGAGAAAATATTCGAGGAGCCACTAGAGAAGAACGACAAGGATACGCTTTTCTCGAAAATGCAATCTCTGAACAAGTATATGTGTAAATTCGTGGACTCGTCTAACACTTTGAAGCGGGTCCTGACGAAAGAGTTTGTTCAGAAAAAGAATATGGACCGGAACAACGAACCTTATTTTGACGTAGGCTTGGGAGAGTAAGTTTTTATATAAATTTAATAGCGAAAGCGCGGTTTAATTATTCTTAATCTGATTATCTTTTAGTCCAGACACCCCACGCGTTTGGGAACGAGCTCACAGTGAAAGACTAGAGAGACATCGCAGCAAAAATGATACTAGGTAAGAGAAATGTATCTAGAATGTAAATCTTAAAGAGTCTTTGGGAATATGTATTAAGAAAGACAACGCTTTGAATGTGTACATACGCTAGTGGCCACTGTCGGGCCCTAATAAATAATAAATTAAGTAATGTAAACTGTCTATACTTTACGCGAGTGGTACACATTAAAAAAATGGTTTAAAACGCGATATATATATATTAGTTAAACTTATTTGAAAATTATTTCAACTACGGCCTGACGATTCGGATGCTTTGCAGCGGCCGTGGTCACGGAGAGACACGGACTAACTAATATATATCGCGTTTTAAACCATTAAAGTGTTTTATTTAGAGAACTGATATATGTATTTCCATTTCTAAACCATTAATTTTCAAAAGTCTAATTCATTAACATACCTTTTTTTCAGGAGCGACAAGTTAAAGCACTCTTCTGATAGTTTTTACTTTTAAATCTACTGTTTCGAAATAAACAGCCTTCTCTTTTCTATGTTTTTTATTTCATTTATCTAAGCGCAAAAGCAAAAAATAAAAGAAAATACAACATTTAAACAGGTCGCCCATACTTACTTTCGTCAGATTTCACTTGACAGTTCTCGCACTTATATCGTTGATAATGGCAACACATATAGAGGCATTCAGCACACTGTTCCTTCTTACATCCTTGCAAACCTGAGTCTCCGCTCGACATTTGATAATCCTGGTCACACTGATACTTGTATTTAGCGCAACTGTCTTCCGCGAACGTCGCAGTTTTCACAACTGGCAATATACGAGGTCCGTTCCTGATCAACGGTCTGTTCGTCTCACTATCGAAGTTGAACTTGCGCACATTCGCAAACATTCTATTTACTTCTTCGATTGCGTCTTTTGACTTTGTCTTCTCCTTTAAAGAATGTTTCAGTTCCTCTAATTTCATCTGTGGTATAGACGATGATTTGTGTTTTGATAATATCACTCTTGGCTCCATTCTTTTGGTTGGACTTGGTTCACAATTGATCAATGTGAATTTTCCTTCGCTCTTCGTGTGCGAGTCGTCTTCTATAGAGTATTGAAATATTTCACTCATTACTAGATGCTTCCCATCCGTGTTGACGCTTGCGTCTTTTAACATGCGTTTAGAGTTGGAATCTACTTTCTTACTTTGAAACACGTGTAAAACTTCATTTAATAGAGTTATACCTTGTGCTGTGTCCGTTTCAGCAGTTTGCACTAGCTTTGTTTTAAGATTTTTTTTTGTATGAGTATCGGGGAATTTAGTAAAACATATTGGACACAATTTACCCAATCGCTCAGCGCGGTCGATTTCTGTCTTCTTATTCGAACACATTGAACAAACAAATCTATTCAAATGCTTCATATGTAATTTCTCTTGGTTCATGTGAATAGGGTCCTTTGTGTAAGTCGTTATATCAATGTAAATACGTCTGTAATAATGTCGCGATATCATAAAGAAATCAAAAATTGTAATAATAGATTGTGTCCTAATTATTGTATAAAGTATATGAATACTTGTAAAAATCGCGAAGTTATGACTATATAAACTTCAAACTGAAGAATATATACAGGGTACGTCATGTACGTTTACCTAGAATTAAAAACCACAGTTAATAATTAAACGGATATGGATAATCTCACATCTCAGAGTTTTATAGTAAATCTTGTGAATATAAAAAATATATATTAGAATGTATACTATATTGTATGTACGTTAAATTATAAACTGTCTTAATAGCAAATTAAATGTTAGCAAAACTAAAATTACGTCGGTGGAAACTAAGATGGGGGTTCTTTTTCAAGTTTTCAGATAAAGACCCAATATATTGGGCCGTTTATTTAAAACTCGTTGTCAAATAACAACATACAATTACGCGGAACAATGTTTTATTTAAAAATAAATAAATACTTTTTGGTGTATGGTACCTATATACAAAAAAGCATCAATAAGTCAGTTACTGAAGACAAAATTCATCATATAAATAAAATTATAGTGAAAGAAAAACATGTATTGGGAGCAAAAAGGGCAATGAAATGCAAATAAATAGAAAAATTATGATAAATAAGAAGAAATGAAGGATAGTAAAGCTGTGTACGTGACGAAGAACTTGAAAGTCTACAATCGTAACGTTGCGTTGTATCCGAGCGAAATTATAAATCAAAGTTGCCTTAAAGAGTATGAGTTTTGCAGAGATTTTTCCTGCCAATTCGACAATAAGACGGACGTACTTTGCACTTGTAGAAAGACTCGAAAGAGATATTATTTATCCCACGACGTGTACCGAGCGCAGGAAAGATATCCCGCTTGGAAGAGTTTCACAGAGATCGGCGTCGGTAGTGTAAAGACATTGCCGAAACAGAGAACGAAAAGAATTTATTTGCCAGAGACTCGGGATAAAGGCATTGGTTCTTCTGACTTGTTGCTGGAGCGTAAGTTTCATGAAGCTTCTTTAAATAACAGATAATTGTAGAACATTCATTGTGCAATATTTTCGACTTGTTTTAACAATAACAATAGTAGAAGAGTTTATCTTAATGTAAGTGTCCCAAAACTTTAACTGAATAATAAATTTGATATCTATCCAAGTAGTAGGTATAGAATGTTATATAAATTAGTAAAATTACAGGACAACATAAACACTGCGAATACAGCTATTATGAACAAAAAAGGACTTCATCTAAATGCGTCGGTGGTATTTTAGACACTAACATGTCCGTGGTTAATCAAAAGCTATCCCCAATTGTCCAGACAAAATCGGGTACGACGAGCCCAGTACCCGCAACAGTTTCAGCCCCTACGTTAGATCTAGATGTAAACAGCCCTCAGAAAAATAAGATCAAAACTCAAACACAAATAATCGATCCCAAAATATGTAAGAGAAGTAAAGACAAGCTTATGAAACAAGTGACACGAGAAATAGTGCCAAAAAATGAAGTCGTGGGAAAAATAAAAATTACAGTTAACCAACAAGCAAGAATCGAAAAAGATTATTCATCGGATTCCTTAGTTCAACATATACATAATTTGGAAAATCCTAGCTTTGACAAACAAAGCAAAACATCCTTGGATCCTATGGAAAACAAACTTGAAAGAGAGTATAGGAAAATGTTTGCTACTGAAAATAATGAGTCTGTAACTAAAACTAGCATGGAAAAGCCAAGTTCGGACCTAAAAAGACCATCTGCCTTACGTAGACGTTTCGAGAGTTTGAGAAAAGGTATATGCAAGAAGGAAGATTCTACCAAGGAAGCTGTCGTAGATAAGATAGGCAGCCGCAAGAGTATTTTAAGCAGAAAGGATGTATCAATAGCATCTGACCCACCGTCACTTGAAGCTAAATCTTATTCGAATACAAAAATATATAGTCCTTATACGTCATTTACTCAGCCATATAAAACTTATAATCCCACTGTAACAATAAAGAAGTCACCAGAAAAAAGGCAAGGACCGAGTGGTAATTGGTCTACTGACATCGTCGACAGTGAGTGCCAAAGCGTAAGAGGTATGTTTAAGTTATGGGGTAAAAAGTTTAATTTTGAAGAAGATAATTACAAAAAAACCATTCAATATACTGGTAAGACACCAGAGAATGTAGTAGAAATAATCGTTCCAGATAAACGTGGAAAGGAGAAAAAGGGCAGCAAGAGATTTTTCTTTTTTTAATAAAAAAGAGTAAGGAAAACAAGCAAGTGTTTAAATCTAAAAAAAGGTGTGACAGCTGGGCGCTGCGAAGTAGAAGACGGCTTAACTATAAAAATAGATCCGAAAAAATATCACGGAATGATCCCTGAAGTTATCACTTCTGATGAATTCGAAAATTACGACAACATATTGAGAAAATCATGGCTTAAGAGATTTCTTACAAACAAAGTTGATTCAAGAAGAAGCGTTAAAATTAGATGGAATAATAATATGTATTCGACAAGTAGCAGTACAGTTTTCGAACTACTCGACTGCGTATATAAAAACACAGGCATCGTTATGGGATCCAGAAGTGAAATATCTACATGCGACTCCTCAAATTACTACGCAAACAATAGACAAGTAAAATTTATGCCTAATAATATAGAGGCTTGGATGATTCCTCAAACAATTATTAATTCACCATACAAATCTGTTCAAAATAAGAATATGGAGAAAAATAGAAACATCGAAGTTACATATTTAGACCGAAAGTGGTACATTGACAAATCACATCGTGGTAATAAAATAGAACTAGTCTTACAATCAAAGAATATCATACAAGCTAAGAAAAGTAAGAGTTCTGATTATATACTTATAGACATACCTAAAGGTTATTTCACAGACTCCGTCGAATCTAACCAACATCAGACCAGTGAAGAGGAAGTGTACAAAATAACAGACTACGAATCACCAAATTCAAAAATATTTGTAAACAAGAAAATCACTGATTTTCACATGGGCGATCATATTTCAAAAGAAGAAAAGGAAATCACAGTAGCGATAAGAAATCATGAATTAGTAGAATCAAATACGTTACATAATTTAGCTAAGAAACTACCGTTACTAAGAGATGTAGTTATACAAGGAAGTCAAGTATATATTCCAAAACATTGTGACGTAATTGGTGTTGGAATTATTACACAGAGGGACATACGGGATATTAAAAAACCAATGTAAGGGCGAGACCATTTTAATATTACAGTATTAAATAATAAAAAATGTTTTTAAAAATATATATGTAATCTTATTCCAGATTAAAAATACAGGATGACTTGACCGACTCTGAATCAGCTCATGAAGTATCACCACTAAAGAAATGTGAATTTGCCGAGAGTTACCTCCAAGATTATTACAAAAACTGGACTCCACTTGGAATAGACTTTTTCTCTTGGTGTGTCAGTGATACCCAACTTCGCTCGTCTGAAAATAATTCTAGGACAAGCCTTAATAATCAAGGCGATGGTTCCAAATCCTGTCCTAATATGTTCGACGATTACCAAGGCTCTTCAGTAGTATCATCTTGTAATACGTCGTCTTGCAGTCGCTGTGTCTCTTCGGAGCAAGAAAAGAAAAAAGAAACTAAAAAAGACACTTTGTTTAGTAAATTCTTTTGTAAAAATGCTGATGTAATAAATACTGAAGCACGATCCGCATTATCAGAAGGAAAACGATTTCTACCAAAAGATTCTCTTGAAGTTTTCAAGAGGAGGAGGGTGTACGCTAATGGCTACAACTCAAAGTGGAATGCTTTATGTCCTAAATCATCTCCAGCTCCGAGTATACATATAGGCGACAAATGTAAGCCACAACCAGAGTGCCCTAGAGACTGCAATAAGCCCAAAAAACATGTATTAATTCCTGACTGTCAACCTTACGAGGTATTACAAGATCCATGCGATAAATGTTTTCCTGGTATATTATCGTTTAAAGACTCGACCTGCAAGAAAGTAAAGCAAAAACACATTAGTGTCATGCCGGATCCCGTGTGTGCTATACCTCCTAAACCTTTATGTTCTAACTTGTGTGCTAAGGAGTGTAGTCCACCTTGCTCAAAAGGAAAGAAACAAGGTAGGCCTTGTTCTGGAAAAACTCCCCCAATTTGTTCAAAATGTTCGCCTTTACAGCCTTGTGAAATAGCAAAATTATTAAAAAATTGCTCTGATTGCCCTTCGTTGCCACAAAAATGTCCCACGTGTGGTACATCAATTTTGCCAGAGAAGTGTCCCAATTGTCGTGTACCTATATTACCACAAAAATGCCCCAAATGTTGTACGCCAGTTTCGCCACTAAAATGCGCAAAATGTTGTTTGCCCATAGTACCACAAAACTGCCCAAATTGTCCTTCTCAAGCATTACTCCAAAAGTGTCAGAAATGTTGTTTGCCTATGTTACCACAAAAATGTCCCAAGTGCTCCTCAATTGTTCTCCCACAAAAATGTCCTAAATGTGGTGTTCCATTATTGCCACAGAGGTGTCCACAATGTTCCACGCCTATAGTACCACAAAAATGTCCAAAGTGTTCTATTCCAATACTGCCTCAAAAATGTTCAAATTGTTCTTCACCGACATCGCATGGGACATGTCCCAAATGTTCCACACCAGTCGGACCACAAAAATGTTCCAATTGTTGTTCACCAATTTTACCAGAAAAATGTAGAAAATGTGGTTCACTAGTATTACCGCCAAAATGTCGAGAATGTTCTTTGACAACATTGCCGCAAACATGTCCAAGATGTTCTACAATTATACTATCCCAAAAGTGTCTACATTGCTCTTCCGCTTCGTTACCCGATAAATGTCCAAATTGTTGCATACCAATATTGCCACAGAAATGTCCACAGTGCTTCACAGTAATATTGCCAACAAAATGTCAAAAATGTGCGACGATTGTGATGCCAGTTACGTGTCCTAAATGTCGTTCGACAATACCACCACAAAAATGTCCTAAATGTTCTATACAAGTTTTTCCACAAATATGCCCAAATTGTCGCGAATCAGTTCCACAAAAATGCCAAAAGAGTTGTTCACCAATACAGCAACAAAAATGCCCCAAGTGTTCTACACCAGCATTACCTCAAAAGTGCCCAAAATGTTGTCAGCTCATACTACCGACAAAATGTGCACAGTGTGACATGCCAATTTTACCAACAAATTGTTCAAAATGTAATGCGTCAATTCCTCCACAAAAATGTCCAAAATGTTCAACGGTCATAATACCACAGAACTGTCCTAGATGCCAGTCACCTGCACCGCGACAAAAATGTCCCAAGAGTTGTTCACCAATATGCCCACAGAAATGCCCCTGTTCTTTCACACTCTTAACAAAAAAATGTCCATCAAAACCAGCTTGTTTATCTCCAAAGCAGTCGAATAATAGTATCCGAAGTAATCGTTATTGTCCCCCTAAGACTAGCAGTCCTCAGAGATGTGCATCTCCTCCTAAAAATAATCAATCATGTGGTTTGAAAATTCAAAAAACAGCTACAAAATGCAATAAGACGTCAAACCCACCTACGCCGCCACCAACGATAGCATGTCCTCCAACCCGATCCGATTCGCAACAATGTCTAAAAAATCGGAATGATAGTATCATACGCATTAATTCGAGAGAGAATATCAGGATTAATTTAAAAAAGGAGACACCAAGCACGGAAGAAATACGGGAGGGGTACAACATCAAAGTTCAGGACGAAGACGGACAGACCCTTTATGAAAGAATAGACTATAGGAAACCTCAAAATAACAAACAATCATTTCATATGCAGAATAAGATTTGTGGTGACTCTTATATTCATAGGGTCTCCACGCCGTCAATGGTTCTAAATAAGGTCGCGTTAAATGAAAATACTATTGACGCACGAAAAAGTGCTACTAGTCTAGAAAATTTGATAGAAATAAATCTTACTTTAAAATTAAAGCAATGTGACAAAACTGAAGTCAATTTTTGCAATCCTGTTGATATTAAAAAAGAGAAAGATTACGTAGAAGCAGGAGCCTATCAGACAAAGGATATCTTTCAAGTTCAGGACCAAGCAAAAGAGCCAACTAACACAGAAAAAAACGATGTGAACATAAAAATATTGATAAAGAATTTTATCCCGAACGATGAATACAAGTCGAAACGAGAGAATAATAATATTAACGAACAATTTTCTAACAGCATATCTGAAAAATTTCACACAGTTTCCACAGGATATAGTGAATTTCTTTTAAATCAACCGGCATTTCCCGTGGAGACGTCAGCTTTAGGCGTGACTAAATCAGCTGAAAGTATTGAAAAAACTAAAGCTAGCAAGCAAAAATTGGAGGAAAACGCTCTCATTCCTATTGATTCTACTACATCTGCATTTATAGTCGCTGATCAGACAGTAGTAGAAAACACGGTAAATTTTATGAAAAACGATGTAGACTTAACAATTAAAAGTGACTGTAGTGATAGAAAGAGCAAAGAGAGCTTTAAAAACATTCATGAATCCAACACAGAGAAATCGGAAACTGCTATTTTCATGACCGATGAGGAAAAATGTTTCGAAAACCCTGACCAAGAAAAAAACGAAAAATGTAAGTTGCTCAACAGGAGACAAAAAAAGAAAATGCTAAAAAAGCTCTTCGAAGAAGCGTCAACAGTGGACGGTACAAATAAAGAAAAGGTGAAAGGTGTAAAGGAAATGTTACGAACAATTTTGACGTCCGACAGCAGCGGTACTGAGGATATATCAGAGTCAGTCACGACGTTCGCTAAAGGGGTCACGCTAAAGCCTCACTTCAAAAGTTCCGCCAGTATGACAAACTTCTACAATATAGACAATACTATAGTTGAGGAGAATTTGCGTATTGATGAGGTTTTGTATCCAACAAAAGAAAATAGCAGCGAGTGTAGCGACGCTGACAACGACAATGACGTACCAAAGCGCTGTATGTGTAGAACATTCGCGGCTAAATTAAATATGATTACGCCAGGGGTAAGTCCGTGCTGCTGTCGTGGCTGCGATAAACAAGATGAAGAGATACACTGCAATTTGATTCATAACCCAAAGAGTCTAGTCGACGTCCAAACTCAAGATTCAAGAAATACCCATTTTAAGACATACACGACCAATGTTTCGACAATTGTCAAATTACAATCTAGAGAGAGCAAAGAAGGGTATGGATATATGGATCAAAGCATTTGTCAAATCACAAGTGGTTCCTTTCAAACGCGTGCTAGTACGTTAGAGCGACAGAGTCTTACGAATTCATCCAACGCCGTCATGTACCTCAGTAACTCCAACTATTCAATAGATGCGAGAAATTATTTGGACCTATCAGACGTACTACAATCGGACGAAACGAAAAAGGCTGTGCTGGAAATATACGCTGAAAAAACCGTGACCGACGCAGGCACACACTTCATAGCAAAGTTGCCGAAATTTATTTTAAGCAATGATTGACAAACGATTTTCGTATTTATATGTATACCATGTTTTGTAAAAATTGTATTTAATATTTATATCTCTTTCTACATTCTAGCGTTTTTTTTTTAATAGTATATCCTCCTCTTTATGGATATTAGATGTTAGCGACTACTTCCATTGATATCACTAATAGCCGGCCGCTTAGTTTCCGGTGAAATTATGATAGGTGGCAGTCAGACTAACATATGTTTTTTTTGGTAACGTTAATTGTGTTCTGGTATTCTGTCCTGTTATCTGACTTATACTCAGTTGGAATATAAGTGTAAATAGTGTGGCGTTATTTCGCTAGCCTAACCTACGTTATAACAAAGACGACAAATGAAACACATCGTTATTATAATTTATTTTAATATATTAATTTGGTATCAAAAGTATAAAATATACATGTGATGTTGAAGGGAACTTATTGTATTGTATTGTTATATTGTAAAATCTCTCTTTTAAGATATCGGTGGACTGTTTGTATAATAACAAATATTATCTGCTACTATAAGGATGCTAAGATATTTGAATAATCTACCTCTGAAAACACTAGTTCGCATTTATTTCTATTTAACCTAACCACAGAAAACAATTACCAACTTAATGACAGTTTACTTGATAAACTGTCATAAAATGTACGTTTTCTTTGCGTCTTAGAAATGAGAAGGGGCAACTCAAAAAAAATAACTGTACGAGTAATGGAGTTACCATTTTAAATAATATATTATTTGGCTGTCTTTGGTTTTCCAGCTCCTCTGCATTATAATCTCGTCTGAAATGAAACATAATTTTTCATGAAGATAATGTAATGGAAATTGGAAATATTATTCAATGCTCATGATGACATTATAATGATATTGGTTCAATAATGATTCCTGGTACCGTTTCCATGAATCCAGAATAGTTACTCTCTTATAATCGTTTCGCCAATCACTCTTTTCTCTTTAGCAGAACCAACCAAATTTCGTTTTTACCAAAAATTCCGGGCACTTAATGTAATCTCATCTCATCAAACGTGTATCTACCCTCAGTATCTGTGTTGTCTTGTAGATACTGAGGGTAGACACACTTTTTTAAGGTTCCTTTTACAAATTGAGGACTGCCAATTATTCATTTTCATTTCATTTCACTGAGTGAGTAAAACCTTACGTCAATACACCATCACCACGTGAAGCAACAATAAACAGACATATCTATTACTTACCCATTTCCACACCAATACTGTGTTAACACAATGATCAAAAGTGCTAAAAACAATGTGCTAATGGTGCTAAGTGATACAAATAACTATACACTACACAATGAGGTTGTACTCATCTTTACAACGATGTTATTTTTTTTGACATTCTGGTCTAACCAAGGTAGGTGGATCCTTTAATACGAAAATGTAAGGTTAAAAATAGATTTTCTAAACTTTCTCTAGAATATCTGTATCTATTTTGAATATCATAAATGGTCTCCTGGTTTTCATCGCTTATCATTATTGCAACAATAATGTAATAATTTAAATGAAACTTGAACGGTTTAAAACGCGATATATACTAGTTAATCTTGTATAAAAATTAACTTAACTACGGCCCGACGTTTCGGATGCTATACAGCAGCCATGGTCACGGAGACACGCCGTTACATACAATTTTAACTAATATATATCGCGTTTTAAACCGTTAGTGTTTTATTTAAAAGTGTACTACTCGCGTAAATTAGACAGTATTTAATAATGTAATAATTCAATTAATGGTATTCGAATAATAGTTACAGGGGTCGTTTAATAAATCACTTTAAATCCAATACACATTTAATCGAATCATTCGAGATATACACAAATAAGTACGAACCTTACACAGAGCACTAGCAAACAACAATATACAAAACGCTGTACATTATACAATAAATAACAACAATTATTTCTAACATTGGCTCAGACTGGTCTTTACTGTGTCTTTATTCAATTTTTCATTGACAATATGGCATAAATTCAATTGAAAATGTAAAAGAAAGACTTTAAGTCATTAGATATGTGTTATCATTTTAAACGTAAAAAGTTTCGATATTTGCAAACTAGGTGGCGCTTTACAAAATTAAAAGAGTTATCGAAATACATTACAGATAAAATGTTCCAGCATTACACAAAACTTGAGTGTTAAATTTTAATATTATAAAACACAGTAGAAACCAGTTTAAATTGTTACAAAACAAATGAACAAGGATATCTAGCTGTTTTCAAACACGGATATTAATATAATTATTATAAGAAATATTTGTGATATTTTTCTACATAGTAACACTTTCAATTTGTCAACTAGAATATTATGGATTTACGAAACTGTCGATAAACGATTTGAGGTTATAATTCTTTTATAAGGCTATGTTATCTTGTCCTCTTCAATTCTTTGTTGGTTAGAGAAAATTGGCCATCACTTATATATTCATTGATATTTATATACTCTGTGTTGTGCAGTGTATAAAAGGAAAAAAAACTCAGATTGCCGCATACGAAACGTTACATTACATAAATATATTGATATGCTTTTCATGTAATTAATTAATGGTCAACCAAATTTTGAGTTAAAAGTATTGTATTATTAATATCTATACCATCCACGCATACAGCGTAAGTAAATGTATTACAGATTAAAAATATTATTTTATAATCTATAACCCCAGCAGTGAGGCAAAAATAAGTTGTAATAATGATATTACAAGGAACGGCCATTTTTTTCTATAACCACTTTTAACTAACAGTATTTGAACAAGTGCCTGAATCTAGATATTAAAAATATAACAGTTTTAAAAGCATTTTTAGAAAAATATTAAATCGGGCTATTTATACTTTTGTTTGCGAAAAAATTTAGAACTTTTTTATCTACGAACTATCTAGTTTTATATAAAGTTTAAATAGTTCAAAACAGTACGTAACGTTTCAAAATCTCTTATGGAGACATTATTCCAGACTAATCATATGCAAACACACCGACATGACACATTGTACTATGTGTAGCCAGCAACAAAAATGGTTAATGAAAATTTAAAAAAAAAACGTGATGCTTGCTTTTGTTGCTGGCTTACTATAAATGCTTTATAAATACAACTTAATTAACTATACAGGTAATCACAAGATTTGTTAGCATCTGAATATAAATACAAGTAAGAAATAATATCATGGCTATTTTAAACAAAAGAAGAAAAAAAAGACGATTGTGTTAATTTAGTATTTGAGAGCGATTTGATATTTTGTACCATCATCAATATAATGATGACAAGGGAGATTCAAACAGTCCACTTTAAAAAATAAAATCACAGATAAAATAGAAAAAGTGAGAACTTAAAAAATATTTATACAAATTATATTAAACTTGATTGCTTAAACAATAAATAAGTATTTCCCTAATAAAATATTAAATATTTATCCTTAAACCTAACAGAAAAGTATGTTTGAGCAGAAGGAAACTTAAAGTAATATTTGCTATATCAAATAGTCAGAATCTTTTTGTACCAATCCAAAGACTGATGTGAGAAAGAAGAAGTAATTCGTGATGCAATGCTAAGAATTCATTACAGTAACTAACGAAAAGAAGGATAAAATATGAATTACACAAATCAATTATTTAAACAAAAACATTACATTCGTTATGAAAATTGGTGACATGTTGACATATGATTGTTAAAAAACAATTTTTGACGGTAGTTTTATGCTTTTGTTAAAACAAAAAGATTCGCTGTCTGTATTTTACTGTAATAGCCTTAATACGCAAGTGTTAAGGTAGAAATTACATTGCGCGAGAGGTGCATGTATCAATAAGTTGAAAAAAATTCGACGATGAGGTGTAGGACTCGGTAGCTCAATTGGTAGAGCAACAGCACGGAAAGCTGACGATGCCGGTTCAAGTCCTGCCCGAGTCGAAAATTTTTTCAATTTATTTTCGATTTTTAAATTATATAGTGTTAATGCAGCTACACAATTGCCGAGGTTAAAAAATACAATATGGTCATAGAATTGAGATTCATTTAAACATCAAAGGTAATATTGTCTATGCTTAATAGGGAAGCAAACAATTTAATTTTATCGGCGGGAAATCTTGAGCATAGATAACAGATTTATTGAAGTCATAGTCAATTTGAGTATACAATGTCAAAATCTTAGAGAATTCAACAGTTAGCGAATACTGCAAAAATTTACAAAAGGACTGAAAATCTAGCACACAACATTGGATACATATAGTAGAAGTATGAAATTGTTTTAAAGCCCCATCACTAAAGGTTTACTATCCTATGATTCAGTAAGAGTCGCGTATATATTTAACATTGCAGATCAAAACACCGAGTTACATTAACTAAACTTTTCTTCAACTTGATGGACATCATAACTTGAAATTGTTATATGTGACGTTTCAGATGTCAAATGCGAGATTTCAACCTGAAAAAGATGTTTCACTTGCCAATAAACTTTGAACTAATCCAAATTTGTGATACCCACACTTATCCACACTTACAAAATCTCGTAAAGATTTTTAATGTAATAAATTTAATACTCACCTTTTGCAAATAAAGTAAGCATAAAAAACAAATATTATTAACTATTGTTAGGGCATTTAAATAGTTTTCAATACATGCAGTTATCTTAAGCTCCGTGTTTAATTCATGCAATTTATGTCCGTGACGAAGCTGCATGATTTTTTATGATGGCAAATGAACCCTTTTTTTAAGACTAATTAACTAAAGATTGTAAATTATTTGCAGTGAATTGTAATTTCACAAATAGTGATACGTATTATATTATTTATAACACATAAAATAAAGTTTTCAAAAACTATTGGTACATTTAAGTATTGGTCGAAAACAAAACTATGTTTTAAAAACATAAATTATAACTAGGGACTATTATAATAATTAGGGACGTAACTAGGGACTATTATAATAATTAGGGACGTAACTAGGTAAACTATCAACGTTGGCATCTGTCAATGTAAGAGAATCCGTATTATTTCCAAAGCTACAAAGGCCCTTTAATAAAAGCGCCATCTAGGGGTCATTTATAAAAAGTTTACACCAAAAGGTTATTCTAGACAAAACATCAATTTGTACTATGCAAATGAACATCTCGACTATAATATTTATAGTCTGTTATGTATAACAGGAATTATTTATCATATCACGTTTATTATTGCGAAGGATTATAATTGAACTTGTTTTAACTTTATTTGATTAAAAACATGTCAATCTTAAAGAAATGCTAGTGTTAGAGAAAAATAGCGTTTTTTAAGCGAACTTAACTATAGCAAAGCACTAATAAACACTGAACGCGGCAAACGGTTCAAAATATTACCAACATCAAATTCTGCATTCCTAAAATGGAAGCACCCATTTTGTGTTATACTTTACACGAATTAACCTAACTATAATCGGACGCCTAGGGATATAAATTCACGAACAATCCGTAATGCAAAACACGTCAAAAATCAACGAACCCGACCGAGGCAGGCGCAGATTATAAACGACTTCTAAGTTAAACATCTGTCAAATTTCAACCAACGCGACTGGTCGAATTATTTATTGCTTTTGACAACTCCGCATTGTATATCTATCCTTTTCTCTTTAAAAGATTATCCTTCACGAGAGCGAGACAGATATAGTTTTGTTGCTTCTTTTTGAGGCTCTTTGCTCAAAGCCCGATTACTGTCCCATTTCCACGTATTTCCAAGACAGATTATTCACTAGAAGTCACACGAAAAAGGCGAAAAATCACTTATAATCATAGTCTACGCGATTTTTCAATTGCATCTTTAAACCCACCATGTCAAGCGGCGTCCAAAAGAAAAGGCAGCGTTAAATGTGAAGCAGTGTGTTAGTATGTGAAGCAATACGGTATTGTTGGGTGACAGGCACCTATTCTAAACGTGTAGAACAATTGAATAAAACACTTTTAACGGTTTCAAACGCAAAATATTTTAGTTAATTTGTTTTTATCATGACAAGACGTGTTACTGTTTTGCTGTAGTCACAGGGCAAAAATAAAGTAATACATTTTACGTTTTAAACCGTTTTTGTTCATAGAGCATTCGCCAGACTACAGACAATACTGTGTAACCACTAACAGATTAAAAATATTTATTTTTAAACTCGGCAAATATTTTTTACTTATAAAAGCATTCTTCTTTTTTTTAATATCACATAATTACAGTTTATTCGATAATATTAGTTGATAATCATTCAAAATCATTTAAATAAAAAACGGTTTAAAACGCGATATATATTAACAAATTTATTTTAACTAGAGGCCGACGTCTTCCCATGACCACGGCTGCCAAGGCATCTGAAACGTCTGTCCGTAGTCAAAATAATTTTGTTAACATAAATCGCGTTTTAAACCGTTACAATTTTTTATTTAAATATGTACTACTCGCGTAAACTAAAAACAGTATTTAAAGCATTGTCATTACCCATAATGTAAGCATTATTTCAAATGAAGATTAAATTTCTGTAAATCTGTAAATGGCTACAAAATATTGTTCAGTAAATAAAGGTAGCCATACTGTTTCCTCTGCAGTATATTTTTATGTGCAAATCGATTTTTCTGAGAAATATCGATACATTTAAACATTGCCGTTATTATTGTTTCAAGACATTAAAATTCTTTATTATGATACACATACAGACAAATTCTTAAAAGATGTAGTTTGTCTAGTAATTTAGCAATTAAACTGATGAGGCCACTGGAGGCAGAGTAGCCTAACTGCAAATTTATGACTTGACTTATTTATATTTTTATGGTCTAAAAACAATAATTTACAAGAGCACCGTGACCGAAAAATTGTTAACATAATTCTTACACAAACAATATTACAAATTCATTTTAACCTAAGTTTATTGCGCATTTATTCCCTTGTCATATAATCTTGTTCTTTTGTTATTAGGCCACTTTGGCTCTAGCGGCCTCGTATCTATTTGTTGACATTTCTGGTCTATGACACTATGTAATAGTGTTTCTTTTTGTATATTTTTAATAAGTACATACCACTTCGGTCGTGAGGCAGTTGATGGGTGTCGCTCGCGGAGGGGGCGCGGGGCGCGGGGAACGGCGGCCATCGTTTGGGGTGTTCCCACGGCCGGGAGTAACTGGGTAGCCTGGAAAGATTCATTAAAATCACATATAGATCCAAAGTTAAAACAGCGCATTTGTTTATATGTTATATGGCTGTGGTATTTGACCTTCCATCATCTGACCCCCTGCTTTTGTCTACCTCTATCATTAAAGAAATTTTTCTCTGTCATTCGAAACATCCAATGACTAATGGGCTCGTTGGTGTAATGGAAGCAATTGCTTGTAATCAACGGGTCTTGGGTCGATTCACCTGGGTCCATTGATTTTTTAATCAATTAAAAATTTTTCAGCAACATGATAGTGGATCATCTGGAAATCCTTATATTAAATGAGTAGTAAGAATACCGAAATTCCGTCCGGATCACAGATAAAAAAATTTCCACGTTCTGTTTTAGTCTGTGGATATAAAATCTAAAGCCAAAGGGATGAATACTCATAAGGTATAGAATAGCACATCATGTCACGATGTTAGGGGTTGTCCATAAATAACGTGATCTTTTTTTAAAATTTTTCCCCCCCCCCCCCCTGTGGGGAAAGGGGGGGAAAAAAAAAACCCCCCCCCCCCCCCCCCCCCCCCCCCCCCCCTTTTTTACCCCCCCCCAAAAAAAAATTTTTTTTTTTTTTAATAAAAAAAAAAAAGGTTACAAATCTTATTTTGTTTGATAAGACCATTAAATGTCTCCACCATTTGTTCCTATTTCACGTTGAAAATCGCGTTTGACGAAATAATAAATACACAGATTCTTACTACACCCCCCTCCCCCTTGGTGTTATATTAGTGAGTTTTACAGACTCCTCCCCCTTTCAAAATATTAATGGACAACCCCTTATAAAGCTGGGGTATTTTATCTATCATTCAGTGATACCTTGCTTGTCTGTCCTAATCTACCATAAAGAAGCGATTTTGTTGAACGCAGATTGTTGTCAGATTAAATCTAGATTAACAGTTTTACCTTGTTCGCTACTACTGGACTCTGTAAAACTCGGTGTACCCTCGGTCCATGTCGGCGTCGACCCTTCCACGGATGCCGGCGGTGTCCAACAAACACTGCAGAATTCGTTTTGCAATTATAGTTTATTTGTAAAGGTATAAATTAGTACACATTAAAAAAAAACCACTAACGGTTGAACGCGAAATACAATACATACTTATTTACAAATTATTACTAGCTACGGCCCGACGTTTCAGATGCTTAGCGGGTAAGTATAATTTAGTTTAAAACTATCCGCGCGAAACACAAAAATACCTTTATGCACCAAAGGTGAATGTGAACAGTACTAAGTACTAACCTCGCTTCAGTACTTCTAGCGCTGCTTAAAGCAGCTGGTGTTAACGCGAGAGAAGAAGCCGAGCTCGTTGTCATGACACTGGCAGCGCTGGATGCTCCCCTACGCCTCCCGGATGCACTCGAAGATGTCGTAGATGAAGAATTAGTTCTGCTGGTCCTCGCTGGTTGCGCTTCTTCAAACGGTGGCGGTGGCGTCGAACAACAGGAGAGCGGCGGCCCCGCTAACAAACAACTAGCGTTACTAACTAGCACGGCTACTGAAGAACTTCTAGCTCACTACTCCTTAAACTAAGAAGGGTAGAATATTCATGACTAACTGTTCCAAAATTAAAACTATTCGATTTTCAAGTTTCGAAGATTTTTTTTTGGGACAGTCAGCATAAAACGAATATTAATTCAACCGATGCAATGAGCTATTCGACACATTGTTTAAATTTATTCAAAGAGAAATACTTAGGTATGACGTCATTTTTTCCACAACTACCCCTTGCCACTATCACACGATGTACTTTCTAAAATATGACGTCATAAGTCGGTTTTCGTTACTATAGATCAAAGAAAGAAAACATTTGCAAGTAATTGTTCATGCATGAATTAAAAACACTTTTAGTATATATTTTTTTGTCAAATAGCCACTTGCTGGTGTGCGTATATTGAGTGAAGGTCAGGAGCGAGCTAGACGATTCTTCGAAAGCTGTGCCACTAGACTACTGCATTACACAAGAAATGGTAACACGTTAGGAACGAACTAATAGGACATGCTTAGAAATCAAAAACTACAACAGTAGACATAGCTTTAATAGTGCTAACACAGACTATAAAACATTTTCTCATGCGATTTGGAATTTCAATACAATTTTGAGCCAATCAATTTCCATGATATCATTTCACAGTACGACTTCGAACTCTTTTCTCATTCTAAATATCTTCCTGTCTGATAGTCTTTTGAAGCTGCTCCTCTTTATTTCTCCAAAAGTTTTCGGCGGTCTGTTCTCTGGTACTACGGTGACAGAAAACTTCCTAATTTTATCTGTCACGTTGCTCGGCTTGGGAAGCTGCAAAGTCGCTACGGGAGGTTTTGGCGCAGGTCTTTTCCCAGGTCTCGGTTTAACAGCCTTCTTCTCGAATACTTCTTTCTTCTGGTCAACGTTTGTATGTTGAACCGATTTAAGCACTTGGTGAGTCGCCATCGATGTAATGGAACTGCACTCTGACTCAGTATTAGATTTGAGTATGTTCTTCTGAAACATGTTTATTTGCGTCTTAGCCTTTTCGCGGCATACAGCTTCGTCCCTGGATCTCTCACCGTGTTCTTCCGTGTACGTTTTTATTTCTATCTTCGGTTTCACCTTTTTCTCCTTCTTGGATTGGGTGAAAGGGAACTTCTTCGATAAGCCAGACATGAGGCCTTGTTTCGGGCGGTTATTAGGTTTCTCAGGCTTTTCGATCTTTGCTATGACAGGTTCACTTATTTCTCGTTCAATTGGTGACGTTGAAGGTTTCTTAACCGGTGGCATTTCATCTTCCGATTCGGAGTAGATACATTCTTCTACTTTAATTGGAGTCGGCGTGGGCGACTTCTTTGAGAACTTGAAGAACTGATAGCGACTCTTAGTCGTCTTTACGTTCGTGACTTTATCATATTGAACATCTTTCAGTTCCTCAATGATAATTTCCTCATCGCTACTTGAATCAGTAAAGGATTTATCGTCGTAATCGCCGTCCAATTGGTGGCGCATCGCATCCTTCATATCGAACTTGGCCATCATGTTGGACTGAGCGAATAGATTGGGCGGTTTTATTCCCTCTAGGGTGTTTAATTTGGAAATATCTATAGTATCAGACAAGGGCACGTGGCATGCAATATCCTTAAAGTTATAATCATGCCCATAAACAAAGTTATCGTCAGCATCGACGCTAAAATTAAAATCACCTTTGCTGTCGAATGTCGGTTGGTGTCCCCCTCTTTTCGCTTTCGGCGAGCCTCTGGGAGGCACTGGAGGTGGAACCCTTTGCTTCTGCGATCCTTTGAGTACAGCCGGGAACGCTATATCTGGTTCCGGCATGGATAACGTTGTTTTTGTAGCTTGGCTCACTTTAGCGGCGGTCGAAACCGGTGACGTCACGGACGTCGGAGTGATTTGGGCGGTTACGTCCGACAACGAAACTACAGTAAGAAAACACTCGCACGGTTGTAAAGACGTTTATTCGAGTATACATTGTACAAATAACATACAATAGATTTGGCATCCGAAGATAAAGCGGAGTAACAAAAGAGGAAGCGTAAAGTTAGATATCCAAAATGGCGTGTTTGTATTTATATTTTTTATACGGAGCTTGACCGTCAACGTATCGTATTTATTATTGGTGCGTTTTGAAAATTTAGTGAAAGACAAGTACGTAAAATAGAAAATGTATAGCATGCAGTTTTAGGAGTGGTTAAAAGTAAAATTATACCCAATAGTAAAGATCCGATAGGTCGATAGCAGCATGAAACAAGAGAATGACGATAATAAGTTTAAATTTTTCGTGTGTCGTCCTATTTTACGCTTAGACTTAGATTATTTTAATATATTTTAATCACTAACTATTGAATAATCTAATTATTTTAATAGTCGTGAACCAAGTTTTATTAGTCTCACCTGCTTTTGCGTTAAATCCGCTGGAACTTGCTGCCCCTAAATCCAAATGCAAGCGTGAAATATTCATATTTCTTTAGGAACTTATTTCTTTAAAAATTTAGACGGAAATATCTTTAAAAAACCAATAACCTGTCAAAATATTAACTTATTTAAAATTAAAACAAAAATGTTACCAATTGAATGTTAAAATGTCATATAAATAAAACAATTGTGTATCAAAACTTCATTTAATTAACATTCACCTTCATTCATTACAATAAATATGTCTTATTTGATAAACATTCACTCATAATTATTCTGATTGATTTCTCTATTTAGTGTTTACAAAATACATGAAAAATTATTATGTTAAGTGTCAAAAATTATCGGTAATCCATAATAAAAATCCACGCAGTAATTAAAACAATTTGTAAATTAACCTTTTTTATGACAGAGGAGGGTAGACAAGCTTAAAGTTTACTTGGTTGTATAGCCCAGCTATATAATTGACATACGTCAAAAATCTCTCCAAAAGAAACCACAGATCTGTAAATTTCAGACTACCTACTATAAGTGGGTAGTTTGAAATTTACAGATCTAGTTAAGTGCATCATATAATTTTGTTTTGACGTTTGTTCCATTACATAAACAATTTAGTCTGTGTGAATAAACAGATTGCGTATTACAGATTACCAAAAGATTTTTATCTGTGATGTGAATTGCAATTCGAGTTTGCAAAATACTACAAAATTAGTAAAAAATGCGTTTCATCTACATACCTACAATCTTACATAATTGTTTAAATATAAATTCTTTGTGATAAATCAAGGTAACAAGGATTCAATAGTAAAAATAAATCTCAAATAATATAAATAAGTAGAACGCCAAATTGTATACTCACTAGGATATAGGACAGAGAATGTCGACAATTATAAAATAAAGTTTAGTTTAAAGAAAGTAAAGGTCTTTCTTTTAATACAAATGAATTCCTAATAAAATAAGTCAGTTAAAACATATTTTCTTCTTAATAAGATTTGTGTCAATTTGCGTCAATTATTTACTAAACATGTCTTATTGATTTAATGTCATTATAAAATTTGTGACACGAAAGAATGGTTTTAAACTAAACTAGGAATGTATAGAAAATAGGATAAGTTTTTGGACATAATGCTTCGAATTGTATACTTCACGAAAGTTATTCGAGTTCATAAAATGTACGGTCGTTTTTATTGAATAAATAAAATTGCCTTTGTAATCAAAGACTAAAGAAAAAAAGAGAAATATAGTATGTATAAAAATAAATAGTGGTACTCATAACAATATCTGGTGGATCAGATATCATCTGTCTCTTTTAGTCATAGAGAGAGATATATATACAGCAGAAGAGAACACAATATAGCAGAAGAGTTATCCCAAAAACGTCCTAAAAGAATCTACTTTGAACCTCTGAAAAGAACTCCTACTGACATAACTTATGACGTCATCAATCAAGCATTGTATACTATTGTCTCTTTTACGTGTAAGCAAAAAGACTAGGATAGGAACATTCGGTCGGTCGATTAATTTTAAAGCAGAATATTTCTGGTACGCCTAAATTTTTATATAATTTTAGAAAGCTTGACTATTTAAGCGTTAGAAAAGATACACTGCTCAAAGCAGAGACGGATTAACAGACGGATTTTGGAAACAGTAATCATACGAATCAGTCTAGTGTAACAGTTAAATATCTTTATAAACCTAACGATAGACATAACACTAGTGTACTGACCATAATCTGACGACAATCACACCTTTTACTTGGCTCTCCATATTAGACCCATAGATAACGTAAAAGCTATCCAAAATCATAGATAACTAAATCTGATTTGACTCTGGGCAGTTTGTACGAGCGTTTACATAGACTAAAGACCTATAACGGAAGCGTTTCATCCATGGAGGTTTTAACCTCTTTCGTTAACTTTCAATCAGCGGGAGGTACCACAATAATCGTGCTACCGCTATCGTTTCCGGAATATATTTCGGACTTATCCAGACTCCTTACATAGACGACCTCCTTGATGACTCTTTCGGAATCTGAATCCTTGATGTGTTCGTCTCCATTAAGCTGGACTACGGAGACATGTTCCTTTGAAATATCCTTCGGTGAGAGAAGTGTGGTTTCCTCTGTAAGGTCGACTTTCGATACACCTTTAGTGAGTTCTATCTTAGGCGAATCCGTAGACACGTCCTCTTGGGTACCTTCCCTAATAATTAGCGGAGATTCTGGTCTAATGTAGACGGTTTGCGTCGATTGCACCTTACGAAATCTCATATCTTTGGGTAGAGTTGAGGATTCTCTGGGTTCCAGCTTGGTGGGTGAGACACTGCGCGTTCTGTAGCTGACGTTGAGATTTTTGGGCAAAGTGCTCGTGTTGCGCTCAATTTCGGTGTTCGGTGCGCTTTCGGTTTTAACGAGACCAATATCCATGAAGAACTTCTTAAACTTCTCTACAAACGTTGGCGATTTGGCCCTATTGTAACTCATAGACAGCCTCTCATTCGACTCTTCTTTGGAGTTAGCTTCTTCTATACGCTCTGGAATGTTCGAGGCGCTCTTGTGCCGTTCTAGAACGTTCGATCTCTTCTTCCATGGCCTATCAAATTCTTCGTCATCAATGAAGGGTATGTCTTGGAGATTATTGTCGTTTCTAGTGTCGACGGCGGCATCTTTGAGTATTTTGATGACCGGTGCGGTTTGTGCGTCCGCTATAAATATTTGCGGGACACTGGTACTTGTATTGTCCGTTTGTATGCCGCTGTCAGCTAGACTTCCGTTTATATGGGAGCTGCCGGCGCCCGTGCTCAGCACTTTGGTCAGCTGATCAGATAGGGATTCCATTCTATCCTGAACAGACGTTCTGTACATGTTTTCGTCATAGGAGGTCCCTGGCTCCCTTATCTGCAAATTTGGATCGAAGTCGATTCGTCTACCGAACGGCAATCTATCTCTATCGATTTTCAATCTATCTGATAGGACAGATGGATACTCTGTGGGCATCTGGTGTCTTTGGTTCCATGTGGAAATTGTCGTGTCTGTGAAATCGCTCAGGCTAGATCGAACGGACGACCTGGGCGATCTGACCTGTCTCATAAAGTCTGGATTATAGTCCTTTATAGCTCGGCCGATGTACGTTCGTCCTGCGTACAAAACGCAGTATTAGACGGGTGGATTTGGGATCTGATCGATCTCATACATTTCAGTTTATTTCACACCACCACACAACACTGTTTCACTTTTAGCACAACACTTCAGAAAACGCGGGTAAACAATGAAAACAAATGAAAAATAGGCCACACACCAGAAGGGATTGAGGGTAGGGAAAAATAAACTGAAATGTATATATAGCAATAAATAGGTACTAAAATTGCATTCACTCTGTGTCAGGAATGGGATAAGTATCTACTTTGTTAAATCAAAACAAAACCAGTAACTAAAGTATTGTAAGTGTATTTTTACCGTAAAGGAAACTTGTTACAACATGCAGATTTTAATAAATATAACATGCAAAATAATTGGGCATATGTTTGTATATTTATTTTAATAAGAACTTAAACTGAAAAAGGTTTTTCGAAAATCGTGTTCCTCGTTTTCATAATTTTTTTTGCAATCACCAAATTAACATTAAACCATTCCTTATTAAAAAACGCACGCGAAAAGTCAATTAATTAGGGCTAGCAACAACCGATTAGACTGACATTTGACATTGACAGAAATGCAGAATTTAAATCGAATATCTAAGGTTTCGATTATAAAAAATACATTTTCAATCGAATAAGACTAAGCCTCACCTGGTGTATCGATTTCTTCGATAGGTCTCGATGGCTTCGCGATGCTTTTTCGTTTCGACGGCGAGTGTTTCAGTGCTGTGGGATTTAATGGACTCTTAAAAGATAAAAAATTAAGTTTTAAATACCAACAATATTAAATTAATCGTTGATTTTTAAACGTCATTAGTTAAATTATAGAACACGTGTAAAAAATACTGTCAAAAACATTTTATAAAAATGGCGTGTAATCAGCGAAAACATAAAAATTTATTCGCAAAAATAACACGTGTGCGATAGTCGATTTCCAAAAAGGTTTCATTAGAAAACTTGGATAAAACAATAATCTGTTTTTCCTTTGAATAATCGATTTTAAATAATCGATGAATTTCGGAAATCGATACCGCTATGAAGCATAGAGAGTAGAAATACCGTGTAAGTCGAAGAGTCATGCTACATTTTGAAGATAAAACATGGGCTACAGATTATAGATAAAGTACAGAATAGCATACGTCATGAGCATATGAAAAATTTAAGTTCTTTTAATTGTAACTACAGAGAACACTAAATACGAATGTCGAAAACGTAAAATTGTTATAATGATTAACGACGCTATTGTCTAAACGATTGAATTAGGATATATTATGTTGCATAACTAATGATGTGATTTTTTTCATGACAGACAAGCGCGGGATTCACTTGATGGAAGGTGAAACACCCCAGCCATTACGATAAAATATAAGATACGCTGTCGGCTTATTTTAGATATTTTAAAATCCAGACTGAAACCGAGACATGGCTGTTTCTATCTATATAAGATGTTGGACCTGGACAAATTTGAATATTACCACAAACCCATTTACTCGACAAAATCTGACATGATCCAAAACAGACCTGGTTGTAATCGAACTCACGACTCGTAGAGTAATAGCCATACAGCGCCACCAACCAGTATAAAAACATTTTTAAATATTATAATGTCATTAAGCTAAGGTAAATATAGATTTTTTCCTCTAACAAAAAGAAACAAATTTTAAACTCCCGCGCATTATAACAATTTCATTAATAAGAATGTAGACGTCACATCATGCTTATTACAAATAGGTACCCGGACTTACTCAAACCTCCAGTGACACGCGCCAAAATCCAATTACGGACAGTGATAGAGAATGGGGAAAAAAAACACATTATTCTCACATGACACGACAACAATATCGTAACGGGAGTCGTGACTCGTGCATGACTTTCGAGTTGACGTCATGCAAAAAAACTCTAGCAAAAGAAACGTAATTCAAAAAAAATACATGCCTGAATAAATTAAAAAAACGATCACGTAAATTAATTGTAACGTTACTTTAGTGGTAACTGGTAAATCGGCAATCTGGGCTTAGATATTGGTGCAATTTTTTAACTGTAACTAACGACTAACGTAACGAGATAAAGACGTAAAAATTCGAACTGTTACTCAAAACATTACGATTTTATTATCTATACTTAACAATCATATACGTGTTGCATTGGATCGCGTTAAGACGTCCTAGATTCGAACCATGAGAAAACAAGTGATCTCGGGCAGGACACAGATAACGAATCAACTAATTGATTGTAGATAGTTACTCAACGTAGACAGAACTATGTTCTTTTCCCATATGAAAAAGACATGGCAAAATCTTCGTTTTTAAATCACTTTTAAGAAATGTGCCAATTTTGTAAAACAGCAGTTGTGGCCAATGTTTTGTAATTAATAAGTTGACTTGTTATTTGTTTATTATCTTGTCTAATTAGCTTTAAGTGCCATCCATGTGACATCACTGAAAATCAGAGCTGCTGCAATTTTGTTCTTGACAACAGCTTAGTGACTCTTTACACAGGAAAGTACTTATGTAACTATTTTTTATAATTTAAAAAAAATTGAAAAAGAAAAGTTGTAAACCCCTGATCTTACATTCTTTATCTCGTCTCTTAGGTTCTAATTTTTCTCTAAGTAACATCTACATGTCCATAAGTAATAAGTTTCCCATCTACTCTTGTAATATGAACACGTGCTTTTAACTAAGCTATGCCCATAAGTACAAATATGCCTTTAAGTGAAAATATGCCCTTAAGTACGAATATGCACCAACACCCGCGCCCTCTACAACACACATTAGCCTATAGCGTATGCCCTACAGTACCTATGTAGCTGGTCACCAAGGTTCGGAATTTGCGGTGATTCCCCTTGATCTCCGGAAGGTCCACTAATCAACAATTTAGTCGGGTTACAGATGCGAATTGTGTTAAATTTTAGACACCATAACTTAATTATTACTCGATAGTATGGTTCCATTGACTGTCATTCAATTAATATTCCATTGAATGGAACTTATGCTTTCAAATGTCAAATTTTGACAAAAAAGGTTTTATTGTTTCAAATGGTGGAATTTTTTTTAGAAAACAGATCCATACTGCGCCTTAAGTAACATAAAAAGCGTAACATATAACATCTATTATCAGCATGATAAAGATGGAGTCGTGAACATTTAGTCTTTATATCTAGATCTTTGGAAGCCCTCCGTGACGCAATGTAAATAAATCCAATTACTGATTAGCGTAGCAAAGTGAAATTTTATGGGATATCGACTTTTATGAAAAAATAGAAGAAACGTTTAAAAAAGTATACTTTTAACGGTTTAGAACGCTAAATGTATTAGATAACCTATTTTTTTTAATGAGAAATATATTAGGTAACTTAATTTTAACCAGACGTTTCTACTTGCTTCACAAAAGTCGTTGGTTAATCAAAATGAAATAGTTTTTTTAAACAGTTTAAAACGCGAAATATAGTAGTTATAACTACGACCCGACGTTCAAGATGCTTTGTATCAGCAGCATGACTTGTCCATAGTTATTAACTCTTCTTTTCGGATATAAAAATATAATGTCGCTTCTTCTATTTTATCACTGACTGCCCAATGAACAAAAAACGAGCTTACGTCTACAAGAATTGAGAAAAAAGAATTTGGAAGAAAGACAGAAGCTTCGGGGCTCAGTTTTCGCCAATATAAAGATGCCTTTAATATCTAATATGAAGAATTCTCTCTGCGATTGCAAAAAGACCGATACTTACACGAAGGTATTTTCTTAAAGACCGTTTTCCCCATGAAGTCTAGAAATCGTTGCGCGTAGAAGCTGGGTCTGTGCACTGAAACTGTGTCCTGGAAAGTATTTGAAAATTGCATTATTATACGGGCTAGCTTGTCTTGTGTTACATTTCTTTCCATAATTAAAAAAAATACGATCTTTAAATGTGGGTAGTTGTGGATTACAAAAAAAATACATTATATTATCGACTTATACATTTAGGAATAAACAATCTGCGGCGGTATTTTTTGTGACAGAGGAGGACAAACATCCATGGGGTTTGGTTGATGTCGAAATACCATAACCCGTGGACGATCGTTTGTGATCCGGACGAAATTAGATACTCTGTGCAGTTTAAGCGAGTAGTACACATTTAAACAAGACACCTAACGGTTTTCAACGCGAAATATTTTAGTTAATCTTTGATTGTGTCTCAAATGTGTATGTATGTGTTGTCAATATGCACATAAAACGAGCACATTTGAATAAGACACTTTAACGGTTTAAAACGCGATATATTAGTTAAACTTATTCGAAAATGATTTTAACTAATATATCACGTTTTAAACCATTAAAGTGTTTTATTTACATGTGTACTACTCGCGGCAACGAGCACGTCAAAAAATTAAATAAAAAGAATCGATTTAAAATCTTTGACGATCCAGGCGGCCTTGAAAACCACGAGACCAGCGATAAATGCCGCTATAAACTGAGCAAAATAACGAAAACTTACTCCGTCATGTATCATACTCTTCCACGTGTGCTCGAGTTTCTTGCGAAGCCGATACGATTGAAGAATATCGATGATACCCAGGAACAAAAGCAAGCGTTCCCCGCGCGCGTTCCTCGCCGGAATACCGCCAGGGCTGGAAACAAATACGGTAATTTCTAATGACAGATGGCAAGCATATTAAATTTGATGGAAGGTCTTATAAGACCTCGCCCGCGTCGTATAACACCGAACTTCCAAGCTTTTAACTTATAAATAAATAAAAAAAAAAAAGATGTCTCAAACGATAGCAAGGGAAACATAGGTCAGAATTTGGGTGGAATTTGCTACAGAAAACCGATTTATACATTATCTGAATCTATACAAAATTGACAAGTGAAACAGTAAAAAACTAGATTTAATTAACAAGCATAAGTAACGCCATATCGAATGATCTAGAACGTTGTAACTTACGGAACGTCCTCTTCTTCGTCGATCGGTTCGCTTTCCGCTTGTATACTCTCCATGGCCGTAGAGTGCGCCACCAGTCGTTGACGGTTTATCGACCTGAAAAAGCCAATGTTAAGTACAAACTTATATATAAGTGTAAGTTAGCTTAATGCTTTAGATTCCTGAAGATGCAAAGACTCAAAGACCTTAAAAGGTTTTATTTGTGCACCTTAAATCCATGCTCAAGTTTTAGTTACAAGCAAAAGACTGATTAGTAGAAAAGGGGAGAGAAAAATTTGTAAATAGTTGGCTCTAATAAGAATTGACTATATAAATAGATATATACATATAGAGGCGTAGAGTATAGAGGGAGTATTAAAAATATCAATAATCATATAATTACACAATATACTGCTAACAGGCACTCTATTGAATCAAGTATATACAAATACTGTAGACTGAGACAAAACATATCTTTCAATCTCTTTCATGCATCATCGAAACCTTATATTCTTCAAAAGTATCTCCGTCCCATTCTACTCAATATGAGAGTGAAGGGGACAGCTATATTCTCAATCGTATCCGCCATTAGTCACATAACAAATTGTTATCCAAACAAAACATGCAGAACGATTAGACCATCACGTTGTTAGACGTCACAAGCTAACGGACAAACATAAAAAAAAGAAACAAAATTGCGTACTGTGTCCTTTTCACTTGCGCCTTGAAATCTTCTTGACTTTGTTCCAATCTGAAATATTAGTTTAATCAGCCTTAGATAGCTATTACTGTATGTAGATGAACCATCGTTACTATAGATCACATATCTGGGGAGGCAAATATTCAGAGTTCCAACATCCTCGACTGAGGTAGAAGGGGAAGGGGGGTGATATAAAATGGTCAGTATAATCACCGGGCCTTATATCATAACAGAAAATCATAAGAAACATTTGAAAACTTTAAAATTTTTCACATTTCGGCCCTAAATACCTCGTTCAAAATCGATTAAAATGAATTTCATAACTCGGGTGGATCTTAAACCGGCATCCATAGCGTTCCGTGCTGTTGCTCTAACCAACAGCGTAGCGCAGTAGCTGGTTTAGGCACGGAACGTACGCCGGTTCAAGTCCACCGATGTTGTAATAAAATTTTAACCTATAATAAATTTAATAGAAAGCCTTATAGATCTACATCGCACCTAGTCCTATTTAATCCTTTCTTCTCCCCATCTCCTTCGTCGTCACTTTGGCCCGAGTCCGTCCTCTTACGGGCTTCCGTCTTCTCCCGCTGAGCTTCGTCCAGGTTGTGAATGCCGACTAGGAGTGAGTAGTCCATTATCTGAAAGCATTCAGAATAAAATATATCACTTTGCTCAAGTGCAAATTTGGGTATGAAAATAATAATTCAACTTGTACCCAAATACAGACATTACTTTTGAAAATACACATATAATGTCGGATAATCCTTGCCACTAGTAAAGTGATAAAGTTTGTAATATCTTTTCTCAAAAACAATGATGAGGTGTTCTTTGCTTGAATTGTAAGGCTTTCGCGGCCATTTTGAAAAGCTTCTTCAGTTTTCGAGCTGTTGGGCTGTAGCAATTGAGGTGGTAAGGACCTTTTGTTATGACAATCGTTGAGAACTGCTCACACACAGCTCAAAAACCTAAAAAGCTTTAACGGGCTCGTAGACGTAACGGTTGCTATGTACGGCCTAATAAGCAACGGGTCGATTCGATCCGCACCGGGTCATACTTATTTTTAATCAATTTAATTTTATTCTGAGACATATTGGATTGCGTGTGAAAATCTTGAACTTAAATGTCGTCATTCCATCCAGGTTTTACCACTGTCCACGTACGAAAAAGCCAGGACGTTTAATCAAGCTCCGGTTTCGGTATATGGATTTCCGAATATCCAAAGCCCAATTATTGCCTGTTATTCAAGATCAGCCTTAAAGTGTATACGTTGGCCAGTGCTATAGTGTAGTAAAGAATAAGAAATGAAACCTTAAAACTCTCCAGCACCCGGCAGTCCCGCTGCATGGTCTTGATGAGGGCGGTGTACGTGTCCGCCTCGAGGAATATACCCTCAGTATGGTGCTCCATGAAGTCCAGATCCTTGTAAGTTGGTGAATTCTTCTGTCTTTCCGTTTTGCTTGCCTGGTAAAAAAATAATAATAAAGCAATGGGAATCGATTGTGAAAAGGAGAAGGACAAGTGACTAAGGATAGTGATAGACAAAAAAAATGTTTTTTAAACCTATATTTAGATAGATATTGTATTACATACTAGGTCTCTTATAGTGAAATTTATTTATATATTAGTAATTCTACATTAATACCAATTGCAAGTGAAGGTTGAAATTACATTGCGCAAGAGATACACTTATAAATAGGGTGTTTTAGAAGAAATACTTAGTGTTATCCTTCGAAACGCATACAGGCGTAGTTGTAGGTGAACATCAGTGATTAATATAATTAACTAACCTTCCTCTTGTACGTGGATCCCTTGAGATCGTATTTCTGATGCAGCTTGACTGAGGACGGCAACAAGTTGTTCATGGCTACCAGCCGCACGTTCTTACTGTTGCACTGATAGCAGTACAGTCCGAAGAACTTCGGTAGCAATGTGCGGGGGTTCTGTAGAAAAGAATTATGATTAGGACGATGATTACAAATAACGCAACTTTTTTGGAGTTTCACTGTTTAGTGCTTATTAAATACTAAAGTAAAAAATAAGCAGCCAAAATACTGTGTCAATGTACAAATGTTAGTATGCAAGATGTAGCTAGAAGAAGCCAAGAAATGTTGTCTGTCATTTACGCGAGTGGTACACATTCAAATAAAACCATTTTAACGGTTTAAAATGAAAAATATATTCTTTAATTCATTATTTTGCCGAAGGTAACACTGTGTCACTAAAATCAACACACCACTTATATATATTTTACGTTTTAAACCGTTTATAGTAAGACATCTTTAATGCTTTATATAAATTATTTATTTATTTTGCACAAAACAGAACAAACAGATACACTATGCAATTTTAAAACTATCAAGTGTACCAGGGCAGCCTTTTTCACTATAAACCATCTCTAATAATTACTTAAACTATACAGAATAAAATAATAATAACCCACCAAGATAAAAAAAAAGGAAAAAGAAGTTTTGAAGTTATTCTTCCTAAATTGAAGTTCAATTTAGGAAGAATAACATGAAAAGCACAGAAAATGCTTATATAGACCTGATCGAGGTTCAAGTAGTATCCAGGCAGGAGCTTTTGCAAGAACTCCCCCTCCTTGTGCTGCACGGTCTTGATGATGAACTCATCGTCGTTCGTGAGGTAGAATATGCTCCCGGACGCCCCGGGGTTGCTCAGCTCGCGTAGCGGCGCGCTACACATTGACATCTGAAAAATTTATAGGATCATATAAATATACTAACTATAGACAATACACTTTTACGACTCGGGCAGGACTCGAACAGCCATCCACAGCGTTACGTGGCTGTTGTTCAATTTATAATAGCCATCATGTGCAATAATTTGTGAAAAATAATTATAAATTCATTGCAATAATGTTGGACCCGGTGGTGACCGGACACACGACTAGTTGTGTTGTGTGTGGACATACAAAAACCTTCTCTATCTCTCTCTAGCTATTCTTAAACCAAATAGAGAATTACTACGAGTAGTACTTGTTGTTATCACACGATAGTGAACGCGTTGTGTTGTTATTTTGACACGTTCCAATGACCTTATCGTTGCAATGAATCATGTTAAATATTTGATAAATAAACATTACAATTAGAATAATAAACATGTGTATTATTTCAAATAAAACATTTGAACGGTTTAAAACGCGAAATACATAAATTAAACTTATTTTATTATGGGTACGCATCAACGCTAGACGGTTTCTTATGTATTACGATGTGTGTGGATGTATGTAGTTAAATAATCTCTCCGTGACCACGACTGCTCCAAAGCATCCGAAACGTCGGGGCGAATTTAAAACCGTTAAAGTGTTTTATTTAAATGTTTACACTCGCGTAAACTACACACAGTATTAAATTGCGTATTTTGATAAGGAATTAGAATAATTCGTTTATAATACTTTGCTATGAAGATATTAAGGATGATAGATTAGATTATATAAATACCAATTTTTAAAGCCAAAAAGATCTTGCGAAAAAATGTGTATACATACATTGCCGTAGTATTAAGTAATCTTAGTAACGGCGCGACTCGCTTGTTGGTTTAAAGGTAGGATTCTATTCCCACAGGTTCAAACTAACACACTAACAGTGTTCGTCTTGAAATATGATAGTAAATGGGTAGAAATAACATCAAAATTCCGTCCGCAGATGAAAAAGGCATGCCATTCGCGTTTCGGTTGTAGTCCGAATAACATAGATCAAGAGCGCACCTTGTCGAGACCGTTATATGGATGGGTTAATTGTTCAATTGAACCCCGCGTTTGTCTGTTATCTTCTATCATAAAACATTTAATTGTTACCATACTCCACTGGAACGGCTAGACTGAATTCTATGACATTTTATATTGTCATTTAAGTAATGTGTTGTACGCCATTTTTTGGACAACGTTGTAATAAACCAACTAACCTCCTCATCTTAATAAAATATAGCTGTTACCCACGTCGTTCTTGCTAGTCAATCTTAAAATATAATTATTTAGATCTGTTAAAGAGGAAGCATTATTTTATACGTAGTTTTCTACTATCTGATCTGATGGTATGAATCGTCTGCGCAGTCCACGCAACGACAACTCTCCAAAATGATTTATTTCCCTGAGTAGTTGCTGAGATTAGAGCTTTTAAATAAAGGAACAAAAAACTCTTCACGTTTCTCTGCCTTTTTATAAACTTAGGTCTATAAATGTCAAAATAACATTGACAAAGACCGCCAAAAGCGATCTCTTGAAATATAATCGTATCAACACTCGCTGTGCAAACAGGTATTTAAACAGAGATGCTGTTTCGCGGAATGGCGAGAAAAATATTTATTGAGCGTGACGTGGAGGCAGGAAAACGTAGAATTGTGAAATTATATTTTCGATAAAAAAATGTATAATTTTTATAACGGATTGCGTTTCAATGCAATTTCATGCAATCCGTTTCAGGTCAACAAAGGGCCTGATATAAGCTGAATAAGATCCCATTCTACCAAACCAGAACCACGCCACATTATTTTATACTGTAAAGATATATTATGTTTTATTTTTATGTTTAGTAAATCTGTTATATTTTAATAAAACAACCCCGTAACCACGGCCGCTGCAATGCATCCGAAACGTCGGGCCGAAGTTGAAAAAATCATTTTCAAATAAATTTAACTAATATATCGCGTTTTAAACAGTTAGTGTTTTATTTCAATGTGTACTACTCGAGTAAACTATAGACAGTATTTAAGTCTGTTATAATATATGCCTTTGCATAGCTTATAGTGGTAATAAATAAACTTGTGGTTTGTGACGTGGACCAAATTTCAATATATTATTTACAGACATTATATATGTCCGCACTTTCCAAAATCACAAGTGTTTAAAAACAAATTAGACCCGTTGAAAATTAACCAACGACACGTTGCTTATTATCTATACATGGAAAAATAGTATACTCTGTAGTTCTCATTTTTATAAAACCCTTTTAACGGTTTGAAACGCTCCCTGTGACCATAGCTGCAATACATGAAACTTCGGAACGTAGTTAAAATAAGTTAACTAGTATATTTCGCGTTAAGTGTTTTTTTAAAAACGAAAAACTCATTCCTGTGACCACGGCTACTGGAGATACTCCGAAATGTCAGGTCGTAGCTAAACTAAGTTACCTAATAAATTTCGCGTTTTAAACCGTATCCTCACCAAAAAGTCGTCCGGCTGTATCCCGAACAGATCGCGAAAGTATCTGAACGCGATCGGCGCGTACGTCTTGAACTTGAACTCGGAGTAGTGGTGCGCGGGTGTGTGGTTCGAGCCCTCGCTGGGGAAGTTGGTCGTCTCGACGGTCATGAAGTCCTGCATCAGCAGATCACGCTCCGGCTTCGAAGCGAGACCGCCGATCGCATGTTGGATGCCTGCGAATATGAACAGTTATGATCAACTAACAATTTCGTTTACGCATAAACTACTGAACAGAATTTGATGTAAATATAGATTGTAAATAGGTACAAGATTAAAATTAACATTGTGTGAAATATTGACACAAGTGGTACATATTAAATAAAACATGATTAACGGTTGATAACGCGAAATACGTAAATAAATATTTTTTTTTATTAAACCAAAAGCGACCGAAATGTTGAATTGTATAAATCATTTAATTTGGATATTACAAATTGGTTAGGGCAACAACACAAATGCCAACAAAGATAAAATAAAAGACGGGTCGTCTTTTATTTTATTTTAATCCGATTATCTTTTTTAACTTAAACGTGTTTACTCTTAAACCAAACTATACTATAGAACTGCGACAGTTACAGACAAATGTTTATAGCAGAAATATACATAGACATATAATTATACTAGCTGTGCCCACGACTTCGTTCGCGTGGAATAGTGACTTGGAATATAATTTTTCATTATTTAGGCTGTGTATTAATTTATGAATTGCGCATTAGCGCAGCCAATCTATGTTGTAAGTGCTACTTTGCCGCAACACTCTCAGCTCACATAACTCTTACTCCAACTCCCACTTCCACTCCTACTCCCACCCCCACTCCCACTTCTATTTCCAAAAAGCCAAAGAAGAAAGTTTCATTGATTTAGCTTCAAAAAACCACGAATTTCCATACAAACTTTCTTCCCATTTTTTTTATTACTTGAAGGAATCGACTCTTTACCGACGCCCCCGCCTGGCTACATCGAGTGGCGGAGGGAGTGTGGGGGTCGGCCAGCTTGACCACTACCCACTAAACCTCCAAGAGCGCACGGGAGACTTGCCGAACGTGGGCGGGCGGTTAGTTGAAACTTTCATCTCCCTTTTCAACCTCTTACAACCCGCTTTTCACAATAAAAACTATGTTCTTTCTCAGGGTCTAGACCATATGTGTACTAAATTTCATTTAAATCCGTTCAGTAGTTTTGGCGTAAAAGAGTAACAGACAGACAGACAGAGTTACTTTCGCATTTATAATATTAGTAAGGATGTATAATTATATACTACTAAACATTCGGACATTCTTAAACCAACATCTATACTAACATACGACGGGAAGGGACGCGACCGACGTCGTGGGTAACAGCCCTAAGTTTATAAAGATGAAGGGGTTTGCAAAAGCGAATTTGGATGCCCAAAGTAACGATTCTCGCGGACGAAGTCGCCGACACAGCTAGTATCCTAGAGTCAAAAGAGGCGCCTTATTGTGGTCATTACGGGCAATAAAACGATCGTCCCACTTCCACCTGCTTCCTGTGGTACGTCTAATAGAGTCTTTGATCTCTACACCGGTATCCACCAACGACATCTATTACTTACAGCCAATATATAAATAACGTAACTTTCAGTTTCCCCGTGACCACGGCTGCTGCAAAGCATCCGAAACGTCGCGTCCTAGTTAAAATAATTTCAACTAATATATATCGCGTTTTAAACCGCCTAATTGTATTTAAACGTAACTTTATCATGATTTTCTTAAACGTAGTGAAATGATTTCTTATTAGCTTTATAATTAACGTAATAAGTAGTGTAACAATGGGCTGTGTGGGTTCGAATCCCGTCCGTGTTCACGTTTAAAAAACCTAATGCTAGTTGTCACTCTTCTCTTGGTGTCAGAAGTATTAATTAGGAATAGGAAGCAGTTTCATTTGTTTCATTGAACCGAGTTTACAATTAAAGTCAAAGTAATGAACAAGTCGTGTAAAAATAAATTGTTTAGTAAACTGTAAATAAATTGTCGGAATCATTAGCGATAGCTAGGGTTGGCTACAAACGAATACATAATATCATTTGCATGCTACCCGTAATAATACAGAATAGCTGTATTCATATTAATAACTAGCTGTGCCCGCGACTTCGTCCGCGTGGAATAGTGACTCGTGGTAGAATTTTTAATTATTTAGGCTGTTTATTATACATACATATGTAAGGGCGCAGTTAGGGCAGCCTATCTATGTTGTACTAAGTGCTACTTTAACGCGACACTCTCACCGCACATGACTCCTACTCTAACTCCCACTCTCAGTCGTACACTTACTCTCACTCCCACTCCTATTCCCAAAAGCCAAAGAAGAAAGTTTCATTACTCTAGCTTCAAAAATCACGAATTTCCATACAAACTTTCATCCCCTTTTTCAACCCCTATCAACCTTTATTTCGTAATAAAATAATGGCTCTAAAATATCTGTGTACCAAATTTCATTTAAATCAGTTCATTAGTTTCGGAGTTAAAGCCGAACAGACAGACAGACAAAGTTACTTTCGCATTTATAATATTAGTATAGATTTATTTAAATAAAAAATTATAAATGATATGAATAACACGGTTTGATTTTGTTCGGCTTTTCTAGTAATTTGTTTTATGGCTATTTGTTTACACCTCCCGTTGCTTTTAATATAAATTTCTAAAGAATTTCTATCGTAATCTAGTAATAACTATAGTCTATCTCTGTTTTACTCAGTGATAATGTAGCTTTCTAATGAAAAAAGAATTATTAAAATCGGTCCAGTACTTTATGAGTTTATCCGTTACATACAAAAATACAAATCTTTCCTCTTTATAATATTAGTGTAGATAGCTGTTACCCACGATATTCGTATCCCGTCGTTCGAGTCGTTCTTGCAAGTTAATTATAAAAGATAGACATATAACGTCGAGGACTTTTTTTTAGATCATTTAAAGGGGAATAATTCTTTTATACATAGTTTTTTGGTATTTTGAACCGTTTTCGGAGCGTACGCATCGGAAACCTACAGAGATGAAAAATTTCCCCCGTTTTGTTCACATTTCTCGCTGTATCTTCGCTCCTATTAGTCACATCGCAATGTGTATCGCCTATAACCTTCCTCGATAAAATAATACTCTAACCAACAAAAAAAAAATTCCATTCGAACCAATTCGAGTACTTCCTGAGATACGATACCGTACGTGCTATGGTCGTGATAAGGGCGTGTCCCATGTTTAGTATTTGCGCATATTCAAAGTCAAAATAAGTCGTTGGGTAGATGTTAAATCCCATCAAATGAACTTCAAGCTTGTCTGACCTCTCAAATTTTTTGTGGTGTTGGTGGTTGTATGAAAAAGTATAGCTTATAATCACCCCAGACTCAATCTTCCTTCCCATTTAACTGTGCATTACAATATGTACGTATTACACGCTATTAACATTTATTATTAATACTAATTGTCAACTGTAATATAAATTATGTGACTCGTTTGTGGCAGCCCTAGGGACTGCACGGCGTCGTGTGGGCGTTAATCATTGTGTCGCAGTTGACACAAACAATTATATTTCATTTATCGTTATGTAGGACAATAGTTGACGTTTTTAATATCGCTAATGTGTTTCCTATGTACTTAATTCTACCCTCCCCATAAGCAAGATAAATGTAAAATTACTTTTATATGGATCATGTACGACAGAAGTGGTGATGCCTATTTAATCTTCATAAACCAGTGTATTTTTTAGTTCCAGGATTCAAACCGAGGATCTTTGTTAGTTGTAAAAATACTAAAGACTTAGAGATGAGAAGAGGCCGTGAGAGCCGCTAAGGCTATGATCAAAGCCTTGTATTCAAGAGATTGTGTTGTTCCGTTGATTGTTTGGATAAACTGCAGTGTTTTATGGCGTTCGTTTCGGCGGCGTCTTAGTAAACATGTCGGTTTATTTTCGACCGACAGAAGGCCACACGGAGAAAATATAAAATAGATACAGGTTAACTTCGGTTTATCTAACTAAAATTTCGCAATGGCTGCATAGGGCTGTCAAAATATTTTTAAATAGATATATTTATTATATTTTGTAAATCTGTAATGTATATCTTCATTTAGATTTTTAAAAAATACGATACGGGCGGGACCTGAATCGGCTATCACTGCGTTCCGTGTTGTTGCTCTAATCAAGTGAAGTACCATATCATCGTATTAAGCTTTAATTTATATAGTGCCATCATGTGCAATAACATGTGAAAATATTAAAGTTTTCTTTCATTTGCGAGTATTTATCTTATACTAGCGACCCGCCCCGGCCTCGCTCGGGCACATGCTGAAAATACACACTCGACAGAAACCTTCCTCTTAAATCACTCTATTAAAAAATCGCACGAAAATACGTTGAGCAGTTTTAAAGATTTGAATGTACATAGGGACAGAAAAGGCGATTTTGTTTTATACTATGTAGTGACAAGTGTAAAGTAACTAGATTTTTTATTAATCATCAACAGTATCCTAAGAACTCCTAAGGCTTTGTCCCAAAATAAATTTTCGGAGAGATATTTATCAAACTTTAATAAAAAATAAAAGTGCAATTTCATTAGCGTTAGTTAAGTACATAGATCTTGGATTCGAACACATCATGAGAACCAAAAGAAGACGCGCGACAGTCCAACTAACCCAATTGTATGGATCCCATAATCTGCGAAGACTGGATCTTCTTGTAGGTGATCTCGCCTCCTTCGCCGACGCGACGATGACCAATCTTCCGATCGGACTTGTGCACCTTGCTGATGGCGCCCAAGGGCCCGACCGCCGGCTGAAAGGGAAATACAAAATACTGTATTTTTACGGGAACGTTGGTATAAAGGTAGCAATGTACGGCTAATAATCAACGGGTCGTTGTTTCCCAGTTTGGGAAGTCCCTGGGTTGGGACCCAGTGGGGAGCTCGATCCCCACTGGGTCCAACATTTATCTGATCAATTTATAATTTTTCGAAAACATGTTGAATTTCGTATTAAATGGTAGGAATATCGAAATTTCGTCCGGGTCACGAGCCACCGTCCACAGATGAAAAAAGCCGTGAAGCTTAACGCGATTCGGTTTCAGTCTGTGGAATTTTTGAATATCCACAGACCCCACACACATCTATTTCAGTAATCCACTTTAAAGGGAAGTAGTGGAAAAGACATCTTTGTCCCACCGGCTCGAAACGATTATACTACCCAGGAAGTAAGAACCAAGACTACCTAGAAGCAAAGCTATCCAAAACTTCCAAAAAGGCTTTGAGAGTTTATATTATCGGTTCTCGTTGCCTAGTGTTGTCTTAATGGATACAGTATTGTTTCAAATTCATTGTAAAGACTAAGATGCGGCAGAAACAAGAAGATTTAACTTTTATTGTTTAGATTCATAAATAAGTTAATATTGCTAGCAAAAAGAGAAGAAATAAATTACCACAGTATTGAATAACGATATAATACTTAAATAAAACAATTTAACAGTTTAAAACGCGATGTATATTAGTTAAACTTATTTGAAAATATTTTTTACTACGGCCCGACATTTCGGATGCTTTGCAACAGCCGTGATCACGGTGCCTCGGATCACGTAGTAAAAGAAGGCCGTAGTTTAACTAATATAATTTTCGTTAATTAAGTTTTATTGAATATGTGTACAGCGCCATCTGGTGTAAACTAAAGCTTTTTTTAATGTATAATTATAATTTAAGCGTGGGGCATACTGAAAATTTCGTTGTGCCTTACTTCCTGGTACAACATAAGCTGAGTGGTGTCCCTCCAGTTTTATCAAATATATTTTAAAGTTTTTTATTTTCGTGATATTTTTTGTATGTGGAAAAAACATTATTTAATTTTCTTTCTTTGTCATTGAAAAGTAGATAGCGCATGTTTAATAAAAAAAAACCCTTAATCACATAACTCTACGGAAACGTAAGTATTCTCAGCAAAATGAAACATAAAATGAGGCTGCAAGAGTCAGAGTGGGCTCATAAAAAAAAACATGATTTTCAATAAGGACGAAAATAAAAATGCACAATTAATATGCGAAAATGATTTTGTACTATTATTTGTGTAAGAATTATGTTAACAACTATCGGTCACTGTGCTCTTGTAGATTAACATTTTTAAACTATAAATATACATAACTCAAGTCATAAAATTGCAGTTACTACTCCGCCTAGCGGCCTCAATTAACAAAGCGTTTTTGCAGCGTTTATTTTTCACCCGACTGTTCATAACACAGCCCGCTGACCCATCGTTTCGACCGAGCAGCTCTGCACTCGCGCTAAATGTAGTTCTAACTGTATGAGACGCGTTAAGGTCATCGTTCTATGTAAATAATGGTCATGAATCACCGCCAAACATATTATATCCAAGTAAGGCTGAGCTGGAGAAAGGCCAATTCGCGCTCTATTGTAATAATAAGATAAAGTTTGTTTGGTTATACACTAAGAATATAATGGTCTTTTTTATTATAGAGGAAGGCAGACAAGAATACAGAGAAATAGCCCAGCCGTATACCATCTAAACGAGATGCGCTGTCGGCCTATTTACCACTGCTTTTTCATCTGAGGACTGTAGCCAATGATCAGGACGGAATTCCGATATTCTGATCGCCCATTTAATATACAGATTTTCCGACGATGTCCAACGCGTTTTAGAGAAATTATATATGAATTAGGCACATGTTAAACCCAGTGGAGATCGAACCCACGTCCCCTTGACTATTAGTCATACCCAATTTAGTTGATTATTACCCAACTTGCTCTTCAAAATTACATTAAAAAAAGATCTGATTATGCCACAATTTTCAAGATATTGCATTTATTTATCTTATACAGCACCTTATGACTAATAATAGCAGGAAACTAAAAAGGCTTTTTGAAAAGTGAAATTCGTTTTAGAACAGCGGGGCACATCTATGTCCGTTGGTCAAAGGCCGTTGTCACACTAAAATAAACTTTACATTTTTCCGGGGCTCGAAACTGGGACCTCTCTAAGCAATACGTTTAACCATTGAACTACGTAGAGGTTAACATTGAAAATCGAGATAAACCATTTTCTTTGTGAATTTATGTTTGTGCATTCTATACTGTTAAATATCTCTGGAGTTATATAAATAAGAACACCTTCAAAACCTAGTAGTAATTATTATAGTTAATATATAATTGAATATTAATTTATATGTGAAACCTTCAATGGGACAAAAATAGCTTCATTCAACACATATGTTATTAAACATATATGTTATGGTAATGTATTTTCTTCTGGCACATATAAAACTTAAAAAAAATAGGAATATCTTCTGGCCTCTATCATTACTAATTTTAAAATATGCAAAACATCAATTATAAATATTGTGAAACAGACCAAAGTTCCATCTGACAATTTAATCAAAAGTATTTTCACCCATATAGCACATGCAAGATGTCATGAGGCAAAATATAAAGGTCAGACCGTGTTGAGGCCATTTTAAATGTTACAAAATACAAACTTGATTTCCTTTCCTTCTTTTCATTGCCTGCATATTTACTGTAACTTGCTGTTAACCACTAATTTTAAATATTAATGTATAATACTGAATATATTTCATTGAAAATAAAGAACTCGGAGACATAGTACAATTGTTATGCAACAGAAATCACTTGGCAGCCAAATTTAAAACTTGTACAAAAAAGCTGACAAGCAAAAAATATATAATAAAAACACATTCAGTCCAAAGTACACAAAAATGCAAAACCACTACAACACAACAGGTGACTCATAATATCAACCTTGTAGGCTTATAATAATACCAATGTCCCATGATCATTGATGAAGAGAGGGAAGGTTTTTTCCAGTTTTACAAGATAAATCAATGGAAAGACTGAATAAAATTGTACCAGGTTATTGGGGCAGTCTTGTGGAGGCAAGTGAGCCACATATAAATTGAAACGCTTCGTTATGGACTACTAAAGTAACTTCTCACTACAATCACATTTTAGTTAAGTATGAAGACTGATTTTCAGTTACAAAATGTAAATTTACAGTATTAGTTTTGCAACTTCAGTCTTTGTTTTATTGAAAATAATTGGTAACCCTGTTATGCTCTTCATATCTCAGTCATAATACAGCATGTCTATGTTGGCTGAAGATACATCCATATTCATGTAAATCTCATGTTTGTTAAAAAATCTATATTTATTTTTAATTGACATAGACGCATAGTCAGAACAATATGAATAAGATGAGATCGACATAAAAATACAATTATATCCTTCAGAAGTATTCTGAAGATATTTGACCATTTTCAGACGAAATAGTTTGAGGACCAAAATGTAATTATAAAGTTGCTAACTTCTTATTGAGGTTACGCAGTCAAGGCTCTGCTTGTTTTAATTTTGTGATGCAGCAAATGATTCACTTAATGACCTCTTATCAAATATGTGGTGGTAAAAGGGAATTTTAAAATAATACATCTCCCGATTTTTAAAGCCCATAGGTGAACAGGTCAAAAGCCCTAATAGCTTTGCACAATGGCTGTAAAATCCTTATACAAATTATTTGTAGTGTCTTGTTACTTGCACAAATTGCTTGTAGTTTGTACAAATTTGAAAATATTATTGAATTAAGCATTATTAAGAATTAAAAGCTTCTTCATCTGCAGACTAACCACCTGACATATGAAACCAATATACTAAATTACATCTGCCTCTAGTTAAAGCACATCAATTATGAGAAAAGATTATACAACATCCAAAAATAGTTGCCATCCATTCAGATTTAAACAAAAAAGGTACTTAATAATTTATCTTTAATATAAATTATGAGAAGGTACAGATTAACTTCATTAAACTGATTATACAGCATATAAGCAAGATTTATAACTTGGATTATTTGGTTTGGAAAACGTATGAAAAGACCCAAGGTCAAACAATTGTGACGTATTTTAAGACAAAAAACAGATACTAGAAGATTACAACATATTAAGAAAAAGCAAATTATGCAAGATTAAATGAATTTTTAGGAAAAAGCAAGTTGGTAATACAGAGAAAACAGGACATTAGTATTGAACCAGACAAACATAATTATATCCATAGTTATATTACATTTCGTAGATGATACTTTTAAGATATTATTTATTTTTCATCGTACAACTATGTAATATGTACTATGTATATACTGTACAGAACACAAAATAAGAGGTTTTTTGTACTGAAAATAATATACAATCATCTAGGTATGAAATTATTAATAAGTCGATATTTTATTTGAATTCATAAAGCTTTACAAAGATTATTTAAGATGCTAATTTTTATAGCTCCACTTTGTTAGTATAAAATTAAAATGACTTTAAAAATTGTAATTAAAGCTAATAAAGCAATATTAGGCTAAGTGTTGTTTTTGTATAATTAGCCTTAAGTAGAAACTAATAAATATAAAACTTGTTTCATATTGTAGGTGAACAAAAATAGTTATATAGGATTTCTTACATTCCTACTTAATATATCAAAATTGAATTCCAAGAACAAATAAACAATGATGTTACAATACAAAATTCTCACAAATTGTGTTTGGCAAGAATTACAATTAGTATATTTATAATTAATCATTGTGTTAAAAATCCCACAAAGCAATGCTTACTAAAGCTTCTTATAAGATGATCAATGTATACAGTCTTAGTTTTTTATATTTACACTGTTGCATGAACCCTTTTAATAAATAGCATATGATCATAGTTATGTAGATAACTTCAAGTAGTTTTTTCAAAGACTTGGACTTTATCAGATATTAGTTCCTTGACCTCGTAATTTTATAGCACTCTGGACATTAAGAGCAAAACCAAACAAACAATATACCAGCATGATGTATAATCTCATTGTAATCACTATGCATACTAATTACAAAAGCAACTTTCTCCACGACTCATATAAATGAAAATTTTGTTCAACATAAAAGAAAAACCACTTACATCGTATGGTACATTTTTTTCAGCAATCGAGAGTCTGTCGCGATCTGGAATTAAATAAATACGTGATTAGAGCAAAGTAAGTGGGTCGTTACATTTTTTTCGCATTATCTATTACGAGAGAGTGGCCATTGAGAATAGACGATTTGTGATAAAGAACTTACCATCGTCCTCTGAACCAGATGGCCCCGTGGTGATATCCGTCTTTTTCGTCACGGAACTATCCATCACTTCTATGTGATCAGTATCTCCCGAAGCCATTTTTGTTTTCTGTTACACCCCCTATTTTGAAGTCACTACTATCAATGTTGGCACAATAATAATTAACATGGCTCAAATCACATTTGCATTGATATCACAATGATTCACTTTAATTTAATTAGATGAAATCAATTTAGTTTACGCGAAAACGCTCGCCCTAAGCAGCCGTCTGACATGACCGTTCATAGTAACTGAGTTGCCATTTATGTAACTTTTTCAACAAGGACGTTTAACGTTGATATACTCTATAGTTTCAGTATGGAACGTTTATATCTGTAGAGAATTCTTCTCTGCCATAAAACATAAGAAGAAGCCAAATTAAATAAAACTTATTATTATTTTCAAGTTATTATTAAAGATCATTGTGTTTACTTATCATTATGATAATATAAGTATATTAAATTAAAGATCCCTGTGGTAGTTATCATCCACGTTCTACAGGGCAGAGTTTTATTTATTTTACTTATTGTTCGTCCCTCATGAATCGCTTTGATGCTGATCCCGCCGCCTTTTATTGAAGTCTAAAATATATTAGTTTTTTATTTAATTTAAAAAATATGCGATAAATATGATAATAAAAATTAATAGTAGCAGCACTAAGCTTGACGTTTCAGTCTTTTGACGCCATGTTTATCTCTTTGCGTCATAAATTGACAATCCGAAAACTAAATCGCTTCGCTACAGCGGTACGAATTCTAGGTTATTATTCTTTAGCGTCTTTCTGTATTTCCAATTTGTACAATATTTAATTAGGTGTTGTTATAAACAGTGCATACATAGACAATCTGAGAATAACTGAAGCTATTCTTTTCCTTGCAGTGAAAGCTAGTAGCGGATTTTGTTCAAAATTCACAAATACATATTTTGATTAGCGTCTAGCAATGAAGATGGGAAAAAAAGTTAGAGAATATAAGTCGGGGGACTTTATATTTGCAAAAGTAAAAGGGTACCCAGCGTGGCCAGCAAGGGTGAGTGCTAGTTCTTCGGAATGTTTATTTGAAGCTAATACGTGCTTATGGATGGTAAATTATATGTTTGGGCGGGAAGACATATTGTTCGACGCTTGCCAAGCTAAGCTGCGGGTCATAATCATCAAAGCGCCACTGGCAGTTTAGAGTATCATACATTTGTGACCTTTTAACAATATTGTATAATAATGGAGATTAAATATAACAGATTGCCCAATTTTGTAATAAGGATTAGTATTTGCACCATACCAAGTACAGTAGCATTATGTAAGTTAGCTCATTGATTGATTGAGTGCCTATGTTTTTTTTTTATATGTTGACATGTATGTTTGTTTTCTTAACTCTAAAAGTATCAGACTTTTGAGAGTAAAGAAAACGAAGCTGTAATTTTTGTGTAGTAGCAAAATTGGGCATTCGGGATTGAATATGCTGTCGCATAATTATTTTAACGATATATTTCGTGTTCTTCATTCTCAGGTACAAAGACCAAATGGAAAGAAATATTTTGTATACTTCTATGGTACGGGTGAAACGTAAGTAATCATTTGAAAATTCAAAGCTGCTTGTCATATAAGAATGTCAACTGTATATGGGATGTTATCTACCACACTCCCTATATGCATGTTGGCGGATGTTACACAATACTATTAAAGTTACAAATATAGTTTCTCCAAAACAAAAACTTTTCCAAATGAGGCCACTAGAGGCAGAGTAGCCTAACTGAAATTTTTATGACTTCAGTTATTCATATTTTCATTAAGTTATAAAAAGGTTAATCTACAAGAGCACAGTGACCGACAATTGTTAACATAATTCGTACACAAATAATAGTACAAATTCATTTTCGCCTAAGTTACCTGCACATTTTTATTTTCCTTCTTATTGAAATCATGGCTTTTGTTTTTGGGCCACTTTGGCCCTAGCAGCCTCAAATTAATGCCTTAGTACTAAATCAATATGCCATTATTGATTATGGCACACAGTTCATATAAAAACTTTATTTATTTAAACCCACCTTTCTGTCACTACAAAAGTTTTGTTTGATTAAACCTATTTTATTCATTTCAGAGCGAATCTACCACCCAATATGATATTTGACTATGCAGAGAACAAAGACAAATTCCTCTACAAGGCTGTGAAACGTCGTGACTTCAATGACGGTGTAAAGCAGATTGAATATGATTTTGCAAACAATGTGCCCCTCGAAGAAGTTATAGGTGTTGTTGCTGAGGTAAGTATATATTATTATGTCATTTAAGATATATAATGGCAACACTTGGAATTTTATATTATTTACATATATGATTCTACAATAATACTACATGGTACATTATATAGAAAGTAAATAGGATATTTTATAGATATTATTCTACAAGTTAATTTTCAATAATTTAATAAAAATATAAATATTACCAAAGTATTTATTTCATAATTTTTGCTTTTAATTCCTTTTGTAGGGTGAAGAACCTGGAAATGAAACAGTTAATGAAGGTGATGAGACCGTAGCTGATACCACTGCGGCTGATGAAACTATAGATGAGGTAAGAGAAACATTAGTAATATCTATTTATCATCTTACAATTCCTAAACAAACTGAGGTTTGTTGTAACACCTGCACTTGGTATGAGGAAGGCTTTGTGAACACTTGTTTTTATGTTTTAGTAGTGTTGTAGACAGAAACACATTTCTTTAATATTAAAACAATATAACAACCTACTCCGTATATAATTTCGTATAAGACATTGTCTTGGATAACTAAAGAATGTTAATTATGTTTTCACATTGGATTTACAAGCCCAGAACTGTTACAAAGTATGTTGCTTTTCTTAATAAAATCCATACATAAAATTTAAAAATGTCTGCGACATAATGATTATGCATATCAAGGTTTTTCCAAGCATTTGTCGAAGAGGCAAACAAAGTAAATTTGATTTTAAATTAGTGTTACTAATTGTTATAATTTCTTTAGTCACCAGCAACATCAACACAACATGATACTAGCATTGAAGATTCTGATGAAACAGGCGGATTGGTTATTGACGAAGCTAAGGTGAGTTTAATGGTTCAGTAAGAATTATGTGAACGCATGGAAATAGTTTTCATATAAATTGCAAGAATTGTTTGCAGGCTAAGAGTCGAAAATCGACGGCCAAAACACCAGCGAAGGAGCCTCCCAAGCCGAAGGAAGTTAAAACGCCAAAAGGCAAAGGAAAGAAAGAAGAAGAGGATAAAGAAGAAGAGTTAGTCAGTCGCAGCGGTAGGAAGATACGTCCCAAGCGGTAATTATAACTATAATTTGATTTTAAAATTACATAATAAGTAGAGTCCTGTTGTTATAAAAGAATAAATTAAATAATTACTGAACTTGTTTCGTACGTGCGGTGGGAATATTTATCTATAAAAATGCTTATAATTAATTATATTTATTCTACTTGGATTTCTTGGGAAGCAATCTATACCAAGTATAGTATTGATTGTGTAAGGAGAATCCATAGATTATTGGATATTAGTCACTGCCGAAATGTGGCTTTAAAGGTCTAAGTTGTATTTGCGATTGTGACTTACATTTTAACATTAGTGTATAAAAAAAATATGAAAAGTATCGTCAAAAACTGTTCAGTACAATGGTAGTAAGTATAACTAGTTATTATTTTAAAACAAAATCTTGTATAGAAGAATAGAACTTAATTAAGAATCATTCGTGTGTTTCAGATATATGGACGAACATACAGAAGAAAACTCAACATTACCGTCACCAGCGCCAAAAAAACGTCGCGGTACTTCGCCCACCACAGATAAAGGAAAGGCCGATAAGGGCTTAAAACATTTTAATGTTTTACCACAGGTAATGAAAAAAAATATTTCATACTAGTTGTGCCTGCAACTTCGTTCGCGTGGAATAGTGACTTGGTGTAGAATTTTTAATTATTTAGGTTGTTTATTAATTTATGTAATTGCGCATTTATCGCAGCCAATCTATGTTGTAAGTGCTACTTTGCCGCAACACTCCAACTCCCACTCCCATTCCCAAAAAGCCAAAGAAGAAAGTTTTATTGTTCTAGCTTCAAAAACAACGAATTTCCATACAAACTTTCACCCCCCCTTTACAACCCCCTTTTCACAATAAAAAGTAGCATATGTTCTTTCTCAGGGTCTAGACCATTTGTATACCAAATTTCATTCAAATCCGTTCAGTAGTTTTGGCGTGAAAGAGTAACAGACAGACAGACAGAGTTACTTTCGCATTTATAATATTAGTAAGGATTTATTATTATGTTGTGTTTAATTATATGTTAAAAATACAACATTTTTATTATTTTATTCCTTTACAGAATGAACTTGAGGATCTGAAAGAGCCTGTTGCAGTTGGTAAGTTATTTTATTTACATTGAAATTTGCAAACTAAAGGAATCTATACTGATTGTATATTTAGATTATAGATTATACACTGCAATAGAGTTCCGCAATTCCATCATAGATGGCGCTTGTTTAAAAAAGTTTATTACCAGCTTCATATGAAATAGACTGCACAAATTATTTTTTTAAATATCTTTCCATTTGAGATTTTAATAGAATCTGTGACCTAATTAATTCAAGTTAAAGGCGCGAAACAAATGCAGTATTGTAGGGTGATTTGTAAATTACTAGACATAAAAATACATTGTAATTAGAAAATCTTGTGAAATAGTGACACTTTTTTAAATATTGTGATGGATTTATCGGATATGAATGTGGATAATTTGGGTCCGAGTTTGGATTTATTTGAAAATCTTGATAATGACACAAATGTTTTCAATGAAGGTAATTATTATTTTATTTATTAATATAACTTATCTTAATATAACGTAAGTTATTTTATTTTTTTTAGTGTTGGTTTTAGGTTCTGCTTTGATAGATACGTCTTACAACAAAACTGAAAAAGCATCTTTAAAACCAACTAATGAAAGTAAACCAAAAATTTATTGTCAAGATTCCTCTAATACATCAACTACCAAAATCGTACCTACATTCGGAAAAAAGAAAGTTATAGAAAAGAAAAAATTCACACCGCCCATTAAAAAGGACACACAATTAAGTGCTAAAGCAATAATTAATAACAACAGCGCTCATAATGGACAATCTGAAAAGAATTCTCAAAACCCAAACAAAAAACCCACCAAAAACAATAAGAAAAGAGAAAAAGGTCCAATAAAAATGCCTAAGACAAAGAAAACAACTGAAGTGAAGGATGCAAAGAAAGCTTTTAATATCATAGATAAAAACTCTAAACCTAACGAAAAAAAGTTAAAACGCAAAAGCAATAGCTGTGTGTCTACATCCCCAAATGACGAAATAAAATTACAACCCACAAATAACACAATGAATTCTACTGGCAATACTTATGAGTCAAATTGCAATAATACCATGAATAACTTAGAAAACATTTTAACTGACCCGACAAGTGTTTTCAATAATATTCTTGTTGATGATAGTCAAAATTTTAACAATATCTATGATACCATAGATAACACTCAAACCCTAGAACAAAACAATGTTTTGGGATTCAATGGCCTAATTTTCAATTCATATAACATTCTTAATGAAGACATAGACTTGGTATTATCACAGACTCAATCAAACACACAGATTATACCAATTCAAAGTCTGTCGCAATGTAAACATTTATTTTCAAACAGTGTACCTTCAGGACTTGAGTTTGAAAATTTATTTAAAAACGTTAATAAAAAAGATATTAATCATAATACTTTGACTTCAATGACCGTTCAGGGTGGCGATATGGGCTTTGAGAAGTATTGCGATTTTGTTAAAGAAAATAGATTTGCCGCAGAATACTAATGCTATTATTTATTGGATAAGCAGATCCTATTGAAATGTGCTATACTAAAACTAAATACAATAATTAAAACTTAAAATAAAGTTACTTTTGTTTGATTTCTTTTTTCTTTCATTTATTGCGTAATCTTTTCAAAAATTATGTGCAAAGACAGCATAATCAATAATCCGTTATAAAATAAACACATTTGCTATAGTTTTATAAAAATGTTTTTTTTTTTGATAACCCTACATCCGTATAATCATCAAAATTTAGATTACTTTAGCCCAACTCTTGTTCATGCTTTAATTGACTAGCAACTATAGATTTAACATTCACACTGATACATTTAGGTATGTGTGCTCGAGATTCGAACCTTGGACCTTTCGCAGTTACATAGTAATATTTGAAATGGTTGACAGATGATTCAGACAAAGCGAACATCCTGATAGCCTACCTGCCGTCGGGACAGTATGTCGGTATCAAGCTGTTCGAATCGCGACCTACCAGCTTCAAAACCGAAGCTGCCAGACTGCAGTGGGACAAGCAGCAAGCTACTAATGCGATTACGCTTAAACTGCAGTTAGGTAAGGTATAGTTTACTTGTATATGCTTAAAAACTCGATTTTTATGATTATTATGAACATGGTGTATAAATACCCTAAATAATATTTAAGCATGTTATGTAATACATATTAAAGAGTAATGATCCAAATCTGATGTCATTTTGCAGAGAGAGAACAGATAACCCCTCAATCTGTTGCCGCACAGCTCATAATGGATCTTAGTCTTACAGATGAAGAGAAGAGTATGTTGGACAAGGAGAGAGAGACTGGTAAGTGATTCTTGTTTCTTATATTATTTTTTAATTTTATATGTATATGAAATTTTCGGTCCCCATGTCATAGACATTATATAATTAAATAATACTTTTAAAAAACCTTTTAAAATAACTAATTGTTACACGCTTAAGCTGCAGACAACATTTTTATAATATATGTATGTGTTTCAAATAAAGATATTGTATGGAAACTCGATTAAATAAATAAAATAAAATGTGATATAAAAAACTATTCTTGTATAATCTTCTGAGCTGGAAAGCGTTGGCCACTTCATTCACTACAATCCAAATCCTTAGTTGTAACAAGGTAGACATTAAATACTGTCTATAGTTTACGCGAGTAGTACACATACTAACGGTTTTAAATATATATTAGTTAAACTAATTTAAACATTATTTTAACTATGGCCCGACGTTTCGGATGCTTTGCAGCTCCCCGTGATCAAGACTGCTGCAAAGCATCCGAAACGTCGGGCCGAAGTTAAAAATCATTTTCAAATAAGTTTAACTAATATATCGCGCGTTTTAAACCGTTAAAGTGTTTTATTTAAAAGGTAGACATTGTATAGCGGATTCGAGTCTCGTTTATTTTTATTTTTTTCAATATTAATAACTGTGAAACTTTTGCGTTACAGAAGAGAAGAGATCTCGCCTACAATTCTTGAAGACAGAAGTAAAAATGATGGAGTTGGATGCAAAAATCAAAACGTGCCTTTGTCTAGAAAAAGCAGACACGGAAATGTGCTTGAAACATTTGGATGAATTTTTGGGTAAACTATTATTATACTATAATCAGAGTAGACAGTACACACATTTGTTTAAAAATATACCACTGTTAAAGAATATTATGACAATCCGGTGTCAAACCCATGACCACAGTGCACCGTCCTTTGCCACCATGTTCCACATCATGACTCAATAATGATGAATGATTGAATGTACAGAATGATGTTATGAATGATATTAGTCGTCATTAAGTATTTTTTCTGTACTGGCAAGCCTAAATTCTTTTCTAAACCCTGCTTATAATAAAATATCTAGAATCAATTAGTAATGTGCAGGCGCACAAATATTGGTAATTCCTTTTTTCCCTTTTTTTATTTTAGGCACAATATTATTTATTTTTCTTAGCTTTATAAATAATAGCTGTAGATGTCGTCTGTGTCCCATCGTTCTTGCGAGCTAATCTCAAAAGATAACGCAAGGAAAACTCAAAGGTGATTGAGTTTGTACGTTTGTTTTACATTTATCACTCTTTTCTCGACAAACGTTATAACCAACGTGGTTACTGATATTAGCGCGTTTAAACTCTTCAGCTTTATAGTATTAGTATAGATTGTTTGTTAACACAAAATAGTAGACACAAAATGTATTAATTTATTGTTCTCCACTTTAGAACTCGATGTCAAACCTCTAATGCTGTTGAAACACCCCACCTGCTTGGAGACCATAAAACGTATGCGCGCGTACATCGGAAACACGTCATCGTGGGACCTCAGTGAGAGCGCAGCGCTGATATTCAGCAAACACGCGCACAGAATACGCAAGCAGGCTGACACTATATATAACAATATGAAGGTAGTTGAATTGCAATAAAATAACGTCACATTTAAAAAATACTAGTGACATCTTGTTGGCCACAAACACATTTCTGTGTCTGTTTTTCTGATCAGTTCTCTTACAAGCTGTTGAGTTACTGTGGCCTGCCCGACTGAAACAATCTACTGTTTCCCCGGAGTTCGAACCCAATTGTGCTTAACGCAGTGCTAGGCAACACGTTAAAATATTTAGCTACAGAGTCTATCGAAAAAAAAATACTAACTGACGTATTTTTAAGTAATAAGTGAAAGCCCGTTTTCTCACGTGGCCTAAACACTTGCTGTTTCTCTTTCACTCACCGATTGTATTTACGGGCGGGCAGTCGAGTTAAAAATGTACATTGTGACATTTACAAAGTGGATCGCACTGTTTGATAACAACTTGTAAAAATTTCCGTTGTTATTATCAAGATTTTAATTGTTTAGTATTAAGAGAGTTAAGAATAAGAGAATTTCACCTTTCAATGTGTATAAGTCAAAATGGATTTCTATTTTTTACTGAACTATTTCAAATATACAAAAAAATGCTACTATGTGTCCTCAACCCCCATTTAAATAACATTGAACGAATTCCAGAAATTGTTCTCAACACCTGATGGCTTGTCCTTTTGGGAGTACTTCTCTGAGAGAGTATCACACTTCAAGAAGGTTACAACTAAGATGGCCGCCGAAGAAATTATGGAAATGGTGTTTGAACCTATAGGTAATGTATATTTGACATTAAAGTTATTTTCATCCCGACAATTTTAAGCGGGAATAGTATACAATGTATGTTTAATTAAGTAAATATCCTATCTTACAACATATGACACTAAAATGTTAAAAGTTAATTGAAAATATAATGGCTTATAGTATTTTAATAATTTTTAGAAATGTCCCAACCGACGTCACACACCATGAAATCTTCTGTAGAAACCGCCAACGAAATAGAGGCTGTAGTAAACGACGGAGAGAAGAAAAAGAAGCCTGCAGGTAATAAACAATCCTTTCAGTATTAAAAAAATACCGCCGCTCTTTAGTGACCTTCGTAAATTAGAGAAAAGAAGTTTAAAATTAAATGTTTCAGGAAAAGCGAAAAAAGTCGCCGCCACACCGACAAAAACGCCGGTGAAGCGACAAAACTCTAAGAAACAAGTTGCTGAAAAGGAAGAAGAGAAATCTCTAGAAGATACTAAGAAATCAGATGCAGAACAAAAGAAAAGCGATGCATCGGAAGATGACAATACCGAGAGTGAAAATCCAGAACCAGAAACAGACAAAGATGAAAGTATGGATCAAGATGAACTACCGACAGAAAGTAACATAGAACAATCAGAATCTGATACACAAGAAACAGAAAACACAAGCGAAGTAGAGCAAGAGAAAGCAATTGAAGAACAAGAAGAATTGAAAGAAGTTGAAAAGGAGTCAGAATCAGATAAAGACGAAAAGAAAGGTAAGAAGGATAAAGAAAAAGTAAAAGACAGTCCAGATAAAGTGAAAGAAGTTACAGAGAAACCGAAAGTAGAAAAGACCGCTGAAAAGAGAAAACTGAGTTCAGAGAACACGAATTCTAAAGAACCAAGTCCAAATAAAGACGAGAAAAATGGCAAAGACAATGAGAAAGACGAGAAAGAAGATGAACCTAAGGCGAAGAGGACGAGAGAGGTACTTTTTATTTCTTAACGTTACCAGATATGTATTACTTAATTCTACCATAGACTTTTGATGAAATATATTGATGGTAAAGGTGTGGGTATGGGGCAAACACATTTAGGTACGTCTGTCCTTTCCCCGCCGAAAATATTTATTGCATTCCTTAAATTCTTACAAACTAACAACTATGTTTTAAAACAATATTACTTTTTACGGTTTAAAACGCTAAATGTATTAATTACTTTTTTTTATTGATTTTAATTGCAGCATGCAGCAGCCGTGGTCACGGGGGATCGCTCTGTTTTAAACCGTTGTAAAGTACTTTCTATAAATGTTTACTACTCGCGTTAAAATACCTTGTATTACTTTTTCAGAGCAAGAAGACTGAGCCACCACAGCCTCGGACACCAACGAAAAGAAAGTCTAAAGCTTAACTGTATTTAACTCGTATTTAGTGTTCCAATGGATTTTGCGTAAAATGTAAAAAGACGCGAAATAAAACCGAATATCGTAATTAATAAGAATTAAGTAAGGACAAGAAAAGTTGAGTTAACATATGCACAATATATCCTTATATAATCTGTACTCAAATTTTTCGCCTAGAAGCAAAATGGCAGAAGTGCCTGTTGGTAAGTACATTTGTACATATTTTAGTTTACGTTTTGCGCATGCTCAATTGGAACGTGCAGTCCACGTTCTTTATAGTTTATGTTTAGTCATATATCGCAGACGGTTAATTTGAATCAATGACTAATTCTATAATACATGCTTCTAGTACTAAGATTCCAGCCTGGGATGTAAAGATATCCTAGTATTAAATTCCAGGATCTTTTTTCACATCATTAAAATATATTATCAGAAATTAATTACAGTACTTTGGCTGGTTAGTGCTATGGTTGGAACATGTAACTAATAAATGGTTCATCTTTCCAAAAATCAATTTATAATTCTTCCTGAAACTTGAAAATTTTGGGCATTAACGAAGAACTCATGAAGCACCATTTACAGATGCCAATTGTAATTCTGCATTATGGCTTTTAAATGTTCATAATGAATATAGGTAGACAACCCATTTGTAACTGGGGTGTACCTTCCATCGAATGAACCCTTTGTCTGTCATCTGATTAAAATTTTTTTATAATTGAACTTGAATTAATTGCTTGTGACTTAAGTTAAGGTATGTTATAAATATGTTATATAGATATATTATCAATCGTTTTTATTCGTGGAATAAATTCGGTGTTTTGGACAGTTGACAATTGTATTTTTTTCAATTATAGCAGTTTTCCATTATTTTGTCTAACAAATTATAAAGTGGCTAAAGTCTTGAGCTTCCATAGACAAGATATTCAATTAATTGAATTTAATTTATGTAGCGCGTGTTGCTTGGTTTCAAAGGACTAGTGCTTGGAACTCGATCAGTTCTGGAATCTAGCAATTCACTACATCTATGCATGGAACTAATATAATTGTATATTTTTTGCAATCTGACTATGATAAGTATTTCAAATTACATATATTAAGCTATAGAAAGTACACAATTTCTATTTTTATTATCGTGGACTGTATACATATTGTTGTAAATATCTACACTTGAAAATAAAGAATTTTCTATTATTTCTGTTTTTTATTACATTTTTTCAAAAACCTTTTGGCTCAAGATGTTCAGGGACACATTAAAAAAATGTTTAGTGTGTGTCTGTTCCTATGACAGTCATAAGGTCATCGGAAAATTAATGTTAAAGCAATAAAGATATTGAATAAAAACTGAATTTAAACTTATTTATTTACCAAATAAAACTAATCTATACTTTCTTAATTGCACATTTTCTTCGGAACAACTCCAGTCTCCTGTACAGCTTTTCTAACTGAAATTAAACAAATCCCAGTAAAAAAGGAATTTTACATGTCAAATAAATTAACTTAAAAAAAGACAACTTACGTTTTGCGGAAACGAAAGTAATTTCTGTTTTGGGAATAAAAAACCCTTTAACCCTGTTCACCTGAGCTGCTACAAATTGAGGCTGAGAGAAAGATTTTACTTCCATTTCTCTTGTTGGATAAGTATATTCTTCGAATAGTTTTACAAAATCTTCTCCCACTGGAATATAATTATTCCTTCTAAGAGGAGGTGCAGAGTAACCTTCCATAAAATTTTCACGTTCTTTATTTACTAAAAGTAAACCAAGTGAATAATATTCCTAATTTACCAAGGGTTTTAAAAAATAAATTGAAAAAATTCACGACTCAGGCAGGATTTGAACTGGCATAGTCAGTGCTCCATGCTGTTATTCTATAACCTATTGACTCCTATAGGACTCGGTAGTGCCATCATCCTGCACAGGAGGGTGGCACTACCGGCAGGCCGCGGCGCATGCGGGTCAAGGGTCCGCTCGCGTCCGGCAAGTCTCCCGTGGGCTCTTTGAGGTTTAGTGGGTAGTGGCCAAGCTGGCTGACCCCCACACCATTTGATGTGGCCAGGCGGGGGCTTCGGTAAAGAGTCGATTCATCCAAGTAAAAAAAAAACGGTAGTGCCATCATGTGCAATAACATATTAAAAATGTTAAGTGATACCTGATCTTTTTTGTTTGCTCCCCATTGTATATAATCCATTTAACTTTGCTTCATCTTCGTCAATAAACTCAAAATCAAATGAATGAAAACTAGTATCACTGTCATTATCCATTTTAGTAATATTATAACTAGTAAAAGTTTATGTTAACTAGAGTTAGAGTAAAATTAAAATGTAATTTTACGCGGGAAGCAACTTTTTTAACGATACAAATGGCAAAGGACATTGTCAATTTCTGTCAATATGACATTAGTAACAGTAGACTTATTAACAGATTATAAATATTCGACAAATAAGACAAGTGTTGTACCTGGTTATGTATTTATTATTTAGTAACAAAATGCAAGTCAATTACTCTTTCAGTTCATAATATATATTTTATACCTGATGAAATAAGCCACTACTAGGCAGTGCTTGTTTGGTCACAAATAGCAATATTAAAGAATATAAAGTTACAATTTATGATTTTACTGTGTGCAACCCTTAGGTGCAGCAAAGAGAACAAAATCTTAAAGTAAATTTTAACCTAAACGTAAATATACATGAGAAGGTTGTGTCACTTTTTGCCCGATTTCTTTATTCCACCTTGAGTTAGGGGGCCTTTCTGTGTGGCTTTCGCTTTTGCTTCCTGATAAGAAGAGAAATGCATTTTATTTCATGATTAAGACTTTCATTACTTTTTAAATATACATATTTAAATATATACTGCCATATAAACTGGTAGATAATGGCCAAGTGTACTGCAGAGTGAACAATGTTCACGATAGAGCAAGTAAGCTCACAAAGTACTTATGTATTGGTATCCCAAATATGTTAAAAAAGAATTCATGTTTAGCTTTAAGCATAATAAAATATTCCAACCAAATCAAAATCAAAATTTTCTTGATATAGGTATTTTCACTTTGAAAAAATATGAAGAAATATTTCTTTGCAGATAAATAAATATGATGGAAAGAAATACCATAAAAGTTTACTGGATATGACATAAATGATGTACCTGTAATGCCTTTTGTTGCTCCTTCAACTTCTGTTTTAGAGCCAGGTCATCATCGTCCATTTCTTTTGTAGACTTTTTTGGTGCCTTTAGTGGTTTCTTTTTACCACCTTCTCGGCCAGACATCTGAAGGAGTTTTAATAAAAATAAGCATTTATTTTCAATAGACAATAAAGGTAAGATTAAATAAAAAGAATGAATGGAAAGCTTTCATTATATATATATATATATATTTATTTTTTTTTAAGATAGAGGATAACAAGCAATTGTGGGGTTATAGCCACAATATAAAATATTTTAACAAGATGTGTCAACCTCTCTTGGCTTTACATATTAACTAAGTATATGTGGTCCCAGTTTTGAATGAAAAATAAAAAAAATAGTTTCAGTACAGGATCAAAAAACAGTTATAAACAATGGCCTTATTTGATTGATCAGTATAACATCTTTATTATGGGGAAATGGGTGAAATGGTCAGCGGACAACGTGGACTGATCACCCGTCCTGCCAAGGGTGTCCCCGATAGAAAATAATAATAATAACATCTTTATTCAATGAGCAGCCGTATCATTTAACATTTTTTTCTCAAGGCTTGTTTTTGCAATAAAGGCCCCAAATAGCCAGAAGTACGTATGTATACATTGTAAAACATTAAAATTAGTAAAAATATGTTTTTAACAATCAGAAAAAACAAATGTAGGTAGTCTTGTATATAGTTGCACTGACTAAACTTAAGTACAGCACCTATATATAATCCTATTGATATAGCATTTAGCATTAAACGGGGTATTTTACTCGCAATACGCCGGTCTGAATAAATGCGTAATCGGTAAATTACAAATACAAACATTATAGACACGAATAACCTATGAAATAATTTTCTTACTTTTATTCTAATAACAAAATTAATGAAGAAGTTGTTACATCTATATTATATTATGTAAAATGCGGGTAATTACCTTGGTGTGTTATATTTAGGTAGTACGAATTAAAATACAATTTAGTTTATAACGAGAATTATTTTCGCACACGACACGGCACCTTAATTTTTAAATTTGTTCAGTTGTCAAACTGACATTGACATTTGTGAGATTTCGACAATCCACAGAATCATAATTAGTAAAGGATGCAAACATTCTAACTAGCACTTTTTGTCAAACTTTTTAGGTTTTATTACAAATTTTATCGTGATAATTAGTATATATGTAAGTTATTAATTAGGTAACTTATAATAATATGTCTTGTCGAATGCGAAAGCCATGAAATTAAAAAAGGAAAAGAAGAAAATATATAATTATGAATATATCATAAATAGTTATTTATTATAATAACATGGTAAGAAATAAGATTCAATTAAGGCTTAAAAATTAATTTGTTTGATATCTTAGAGTAGCTAAAATAGTAGATAAAATTCTTTATAACTTACGCATACAACTTTAAAATTCATAGAGATGAACTGTAGCCAGTTGAACTAATTATAAGTTACGTCTTTATTTTTATTTTCATCCGTACATTTGTAGTCATTTCATAATTATTGCAAAGAGTAAAACATTCTGAAATTTGTAAATAATAAAAACCTTTCTAAATAAACGATTCAATACAGAAGCCACTATTTTCTTGAAAATATTATGACAGGTGCGTGATGATATGAAAACAAGAAATTGAAAGCTTTGTGGATGGGCGTAGAAGAGTGAATAGGTGCGGCCCATTGGTGAGCGTGTATTTCTGTATTACGAAGGTACTAGGTTGCTCTTTGATGGACCCCTATCTACGACGATTGGCTAGGGTTGTCACTCAAAGTAATACAATAATTTAAAAAAAGATACACGTTGATTAATTTGTTATAAATATCATTTTGATACTTGAAGCTTAGCTCAAAGCTCAAATTTTTTAAGGGCTCAGGAATAGTCAACTGATGGTGTGGACTGATTACCTAGAGAGAGAGTAGGAATAAAAATAATAATGACTAATAATTAATGGGTCGTGAATTCGATCCACCATTTATAATATTTCGGAAACATTGGCCTTCATCTGAAAATCGGAATATAAAATGTGTGGTAGGAATATCGAAATTCCGTGCCACCATCAAGTTTAATTTCGTTTCGGTTTCAGTCAGTGGATTATATCCAAAGCGACAATAGGCCACAAGCGCATCTTGTTTAGATTTTATATAGCTATATTATTTTAACTACAATTAAGTGAAAACCGCGCTTGTCTGTCCTTCCCTTTCAAAAAAAGGTTACTGGATTTTTTATGATAGAAAAGCAGAAATTTAACAGTGGTGGAATTGGGCGTCGTTATTTAATTTTTATATTTTTGTAATTGATGTTATCGTTTAATTAGCAAAAAATCTCATTGTTCATTGATACGTTCCTTTACCTAGATTTCGGCGATTATAAAACTAAAATTTAAAGTTTCCTTCATTGGGAAATAAGGAGGACCCGCTATCTTATTTTCGCCGATGTCTATGTATGGTCTACCGCCTAAAGATTACCAGTAGGTGTTGTCGCACTGGAAACCACGCCAGTGGAATTTAATATCATCTTAAACTGTGCCGTAGACCTATTTAGGAATTGGAAATTTAGAAATCCACGGCTTGATACCAAATTGCAAATTCACACTTTACGGTTTTCGAATCTGTGGATTGCGGTTTGTGAGGCGAACGAAGTTTTGTTGTTCCTGTTAAAATAGAAAAGAAGCGTTATAATTTATAACAATAATATTAGTTCTTTAAAAATATAGCCACATCTCGTTTGTTGTGTATGCGACTATTAAAGGTATATTCCATAAATAGTAATTATTTACTTTTTACGACCCGGCCTTTTGTTCCTTTTTTAAAACTGTGGCTTTTCAAGATCCAGTGCCTCTGTAGCCAAATGGTTAAACGTGCTGCCTAGCATTGCGTTAAGCGCGAGAGGTCTCGGGGAAATACTAGATTGTTTTAGATGGGCGTTGAAAGATAAAATGCAGTGCAGTAAATAACTTGAACAAAATATAATATAACATTAATATTTACAGATCGGATACGAATTAAAAAAGGGACATTTTACAGGTATCGTGATAACATTTAAGTGGCAGCCCTAAAACTAGACTACCCTAGGGTACTACAACAATAGAACCATGGGGTAGTAATTAAAAAAACGCGATACGCAGCTAGGGCGTGAATTTTCACGCGTTTCCACTCAACGCGTGACGTTTAGGCGTTTTACAAACGTCACGTCTTAATATGATACAAATATAATTCCATGATTTTTAAAATTAATTATCTTAATTCTATGCTTTATCGTTACTAAAATTATAAAATATATCTTAAAATAGTGAAGATCCTGTTTATTTATTTAGTTTCTACAAAAGTAAATCAGAACATGTTAATACAATGAACCTTACCTTAATAGCAAATTATCATAGTAAAGTAACACGATATAAAATACGACGCTTTTCTGATTACTATCACAATTTTAATGTGTTTTGAACGAAACGAAACGAAAGTGCTTATATTTCAAAGCTAGCGATGCAGCTAAGTATGTATGTATGATAACTTTTGCTTGTTACGTATACAAGGTTAATCTTTGTTAATACTAAAGCTGAAACACGCCAAACGATATTTTTATCGTATGTATCGAATGTATTGAAAACTTTAGGCAATAACATTTCCTATCACACTTACAGGCGTTGGACTGTCAGAATGGTTAAACGGCATACAAGTCTAGCGTTCATTATTGAGACAAAAACTATGTATGTACAAGCGCCTACACACCCATATTGAACTATTTCGGCGTGTTTAAAAATTTTAATCACCATTATTTACACTAAACATAATAAATTTTAAAAAATTGTTAAAAATACGAGCACGCTTTTTCAAATCTCTATTTAATTTTACTTAAAATAAAACGATTGTTTTAATTTGTCATAAATGCGGCCTCCAGTTTTTCTCTCAGATCTTCTTGTTGTAAAATTGTAAATTCCGAAGTGTAGATTTCGTAATAAAAGGCTTTTTATTACAGACACAGAGTTAGGATTTAGTGTGTTTAGTTTGTGAAATATTAAAAAATAAAATAAAGTTAGGCCCCTTCCGTGTTATATAATGAATAAAACCTAAAACTTTGGTATATCAAGTCTA